GTCCAAGGAAATAAGAGTTCTCCTGAGGCAGCAGGAAAACCCAGCAGGCTGATTCAGCTGCAGGTTTAGAATCTCTTCAGGGGTAGTTGCTGGCTGGTGGCTTTTAAACTGAGAGCCAGCAGAGCTGTACTTACACCCCAGCATGGCAAAGGACACACCAGAAATATATATAGGAAAAATGTGCTCAAAAGGGAGTGCAGCAACTCTCAGATTTCAAATCAGGCCAGTTTTGCCCTTGAGGATTGTGTTATGAAAGGCAATGCTGAGCAGAGGCCCATCACAGAACAAGGAGGGAAATTTTGGAGAAGTCAATACACAACATTCAAATTAGTTTCTTGTTTACTGCACCACACTGTTGCAAAACATCAAAAATAAAGAGGAAAGATTTAAAATACACAGTGAACTTCATTATTACAAAGAAAAGTCTGACACAACAGCCACTCAAATCAATAGAAAACATTTCACTGGCTCTCCCTGGGGGCAGGATCGAGCCTATACAAAGCAAACAGTTTCCTAATAACAAGGAAGGTCTAGATGTAAGTCCTTTGATGACCAATTATGTATTCAAAGATATGTCCATAATCACTGGGCTGGCAGGGATGATTAGGATGGACTTTAAGCAGAGATAAGTCTCACTTAAAAACAGTCTGCTGCAGCATATTACAATATATCCTGAAGAGCCACAAATGTAAACAAACACTACCAAAAGACACAGTAAATTGAAAATACCTTTTCCCCCCTTCTTCATCCATTTTTATAGCTCTCATAAATCTTTTAGTAAATAAGTAAATCACAGAGGTACCAAAGGAACTGGCAAACTAAGAGGTAGTTTATGTAACAAAGCATCTCTGCCTGCGAGCTCCTCTCGCTGCTGTGGGAGCACTGGAGACCTGGAACATGAGGTGCTGTGCCAACCTCCCTGCTCTGGTCCCAGGAACCCAGGGAAAATGCAGGCACAGGACTGTTTGGCCACATCAGCTGATCTGAAAGCCACACAGGTACTCAGAAAACATGCCCTGTACTCCTCACCTTCCCCAAGCAACAACTCTCTGGTTGCTTTTTGGTCCCCCGATCACCGCGCAGTCAACAGAGGTGTTGATCTGAATAAAGTTTTCATCTTGATAATTTAAGACTCTGTTCATATAATCTTGGCTTTATGAACATGGATGTAGTGTGTGAAGTGTACCTGAATAGGTTCAGCCTGGTATAACTGGAAAGCAAACTGCTGCTGCAGTTTGGTCGGGATGCAGCAGGATCAGAACCCTCCCCGTGAGCTCTGTGTGGTGAGTGCTCCTCTGTGTGCACAAATCAGCCCCCCTTCGAGGCCTCACAACAACAAAAATTTGGCATCTGCTCAAGGAGTGTACTTCTCCTAATGGTCTTACAAAATGCTCCTGGTCTGTGCTGTGTTGGCACACCAGGGACAGGGCACTCAGTCAGACACGTTTGAGAGTTTGAAGTAGCAGCAACTCCTGTGATCTTGGTATGTTTGAATAGAATAATAACGCATGTCTTACTATCTCTTCTAACAAGAACCCAAGAGAAACCCAAACCTAATTACAGATCCATCATTAAAGTGCTCTACATAGACTGCTGCCTATCAGCTGGACTCTTGCAATTCACTGGAGCCTCAGGACAAGATTCTGGTAGGTTTTCCTTTCACTTTCCCAGGAATGATGTTTCTTCACATAGTCTTTGGCCCTTGTTATAATTTCTTTTTCCATAATGGGGTCGTTCATCAAACTCTTGGACAGCACAACAAACTCCTAAAAAAGATAAAGAAAATAATAAATTAAAAGTTCCTTGAAAAAATTCTAATGATACTGAAATATCTGTAATACTGGTACCCGTATCTTGATTTTGGCAAAGCACTTCCAAGTGTGAGCCAATATATGAAGCTGTTCAAAGTCATTTTTCAAGATCAAATGCCATAATTTCTTTATAAAGAATGATCAATAAATAATTATTTTATTATTTTACACAGCCCAGCAACTAAGACAATTTAAGACAATCCCAAGGATGTTAAGACAAATGAGCAACGAATTTAATGACACAAAAACTGTTTGCCTACCCACATGTTAGAAAACCAGGCTGGTTATAAATTAATCACCTGGTCTGCATGGAGGATAATTGGCATCAGATGTTTGATCTCAGCTCAGCTACACTTAAGAGCTCATTGCTACTGTGACATCTTCAGTAAATTTTATGGTAAGACTGAAGAACTCACTGCAGAAACATGGTCACAGTGTAAAGATCAGAGCAGGTATGAAGCAGCAAGTTCCTCTGGAGGGGCTGCACCTGGGCAGTGACAGATCCAGCAGGGTAAGCTCAACAAATTCCCCCAAAAAAGCTATATATTTCCTTTAACTTCACTGGGCAAAATACTAGAGCTCATAGATTACAACTATTCCTTTGTCTGCTCCTCTACCACTCTCACTTAGTTCTCAGGAAGAGAAACTGTGAACTTCAAACATGTGAAAGGAGATTTGATGTCTGAATTAATCTATTCTGAGCAGCTGGACTAATTTTCTACCAAGAGACAACTTCCAATGCTTCAGCTTGATTACAAATGTGCTCAGATCTGTGCAAAATAGTGCCTTGGTTCAGCTCAGAAAAGCAGACAGCCTTTGTGTCAGTGGAAAATTAAGATAATGCATTACTACACAACTGGTAGTGAAGATCAGTGCATAGGGACATGGGGGACAAAAGGGATGGGAGAAAGAGATACATTATTTACACAATCTGTCAGCTGTGAAAGGAAATATCAGAGATAAGATAGGAGTTCATAACAAACACTAGGTTAAGTACCAAGCTATACTTGAAAACCTAAATACACAGTGTATGCATATCTACACAGATATAAAACCTTTGGTTAGCACAGAATCAATTTTGCTGTTGCAATGCCACTGATGGCTATACATAAAACATAAGTGTAATGTGACCCCTGGGAAACACTGATACAGGAAATCATGTTGAACATGGGATAATCACTGCTTTGACTCTCCCTGACAAGACAAACTGTCAGTAAAAGCATCGCTGCCATGAAGTTTAAATCATCAGAGATGCAGAGCAGTTCTGTTGAAAGGTTCATAACCAGGTAACAGAATAAGGAGATTTTCATACAGGCATGGTAACAATAACCTCTTACTGTACCTAAAGTCAGGGCTGCTTGTAATCTTTGCTGTGGCCACAGAGCACTGGGAGAGCAGCCTCTGGAATAGCCACAGTGTCCAGCCTGCTTTCCATCCACAGCTGCCTTGCATGTGCTGGTTTAACTGGGGTGTTCAGTCCCTTACTGGGAACCTCCGGGGTCCCTCGAGGGGGTTTTGTGAGACAGTTCCCGAAGGAGACAGGAGAGGCTGGTCTGGGGAGCACCAGGCTGTGTGTGTCAGACACTGCAGACACAGCTACTCCAGCTTCAGACACATCCCTCCCCTTCCTCCACAGCTGCCAAGAATACAGAACAGGGAAGGTGGGAAAGTCTTACATGACTTATGTTGGCTTCATCCAATTGCCTGTATAATCACAGTAATAAATACTGTTCACACTGAACTACATTCCAACTTTAATTTTATGCTCCTGTGGAGGATTTTATTTAAAGTAATGTTTAAAGCTAATTTATGTAAATTACCTAAGAACAGAAGCAGCAATGTAACATTTCTTGACAGGTAGTCCTATTAGCATTTTTTAAAATGTGGATATAGAGGACAAAAACTTGGAAACATGTAAATGATAGAAGAAATGAGATCCTTATTCATAGTTACAATACTTAAGGCTGGGAATAATTTCAGGAAAAAATGCCAAACTGAGTCCAAAGCATAAAATCTGAGATAGTGAAGGAGAGAGAGAGAAAAAGCAAATGGAAAAATACCAGGAGACAGAGAATAAGGACTTCTCAGCTTTATCCCTACTCCTTCTACTAATCCAATGTGACCACCTACAAGTCACTTGCAATCTGACTGGAAGCCAATGGGAAGATTCACTGTGACTTATCTGGGTTTTGCCTCGTACCCTTGGAGCAGCTGGCTGAGCTTGTTTTCAGGTTTGCATGCTCAGCTTTACACAGCAATAACTTCATTTTTCAGGTGTCTCCCTTAACTACAAGTGACTTGCATTTCAGTTGCAGTTTTGTGGTGAGTCTGAGGAGTGGGCTCCCACTCGCAGTGTGCAGACATTCAGAACTCTGAGCTCTTCCAGAAAATCCAGCATTTCATTGGTGATATATAAAGTAATGACAGGGAGGTCACGTGTCTCTATCAGCTGTTGTGCTGTGCAAGTGATGTTTGCACAAATATTTATGCACTCCCATACTTTGCTGTAGATGTGAAACAAGCTTCAGTTTTGCTGCAAGAGGGGTAAAATGCCTGAATTTCTTTTCAATTATCAAACACAAGGGTATGCACTTCAGCAGCCACAATTAAGGAGGTGACATGCATGCTAACTTACTACTTGAGGGCCATCAATATTTCTAATAAGCCTTTTATTCACATACAGAAATGGGTATAATTAATATACATGTGACAGCAAAACACAGTGTAAAAGCTGAGCCTTGGTAGTTAGGCACGACCCAGAAAAACTGGAGAGAGGATCATCTTTTGTACATCCAGAACTGCTCTTACATCTGCCCTTTTCGTGGGAAGTACTCCACCACAAACACAGGCATTTTCCAACAGCAACCTCCATAATACAGTTTTCTCCAGGTAAATTGACCAGTCATCCTTAAAGAAAATGTCAGCTTCTCCATATAGTAACTACATTAAATTCTGTATAATATTTTGCAGAGACACAGAAATACAGGTATCCAGGAGATAAAGCTGGAAAATGAGTGCACTGAGTAAAAAGAATGAATAATTCTTCAATTACCACGAGAGCTGCACCGGTGCCGCAGCTCACACGTAATGTAAGATGCATGGTTAATATATTATTTATATATATATATAATATAATATATATATTATTTATATATATATTATTTATAATATATTATTAATATATTATTTATATAATGAAAGTAAGTCTGCAATTAAACCATTTCATATCAGCTTCAGCAGACAAAAGAACATGATTTTTAAACAACAGAGAATCACCCCAGGGAAGGCAAACTCCAGGTGTAAATCCAGAACAGTGACAGATCTACCTGGTGGCAGGCAGAGCTCGGGAGGAGCTGGTCCATCTGTGCACTGCACAGGGCAAAGGGCCAGTGTGTCTGGGGGAGGCTGAACAGTGAGTGCTGGCACTGCCAGAAATTGAAAATTAGTCTATTCAGTGAGAAGATTCAAAGCTCTAAAACTTGGGCTTGAAGCCCTGGTGGAAATGGCACTGCCCCATGTTTGGCAGAGGAAACCAATGTAGCTCCAGTGTATTGATGCCTGCCCCCAGTCGAGCTGGGGTTCCCTTTTACCACTTCAAAAGTTGTCTCTGCTAACATCAGTGTGTCCCTCTCTCAACCTCTGTTCATGCTTGGCCCCTCTCTTATTGGCTTTGAAGTTTATTTACCTCCTTCTGTTTATTTAGGTCCTTCTGCGAGCTTTTACAGACATTGAACATCTAATTTAACTTAGGATGCTGAATAACTCTTTGTGTCATCCCTTTTAACATGGTTTTGCATTATTTATTGCCCTATTCTTATCTCTCACTTATTTTTTATTTCAAGTTCCATTAACTCAGTGTCAAATATTCCATAAACTTGCAAATTCAAGTAGCAGCAGGATCAAACCATCATTTAAAAGTAACATGCACAGTAATGTTCACAAATAATGGAGTGTAAAGGACAAAACATTCCATAGCTGTCACATGGATTATTTCCATCTCAGTGTGGGCTTCAGTGATTGGCAAGGCTTTTGATATTTCCAGTCAAATGCAAATGGTTAACCATGACTACAGTTAGACCCAACATTTCCTGCTTTCCTGTAGGCCACAAAAGCTCACTTCCAGCAAGAAGGAAAGAAGAAAGCCAACAGCACTCACCATTTAAAACAATTCTCATTGCATAATGGTCAATTAATATCCCTCTGATTTAGCTTTCAAAAGATAACAGGCACAATTGCTCAGATCTAAGCCAGCCAGTTTTGTAAAGCTTTCCCTCCTCAGATCAGAAACAACTTGAAAATAAGCACTGCTCTCTACTCTTGAGCTGTGATCCAGCCTGTACCTTCACAACCAGAAAGGATCCACCAAACCAGGCAAAGAAGATTTCTTTTCTAGTCTTTGGTGGTCCAGATTTTTCAAGCCAGAGACAGACATTCCCCAGCACCTGGACACAGTTCTAACTTCTCTGTGTAGTTAAAGGCACTTCCCTCACCAACCTGATGCATTTGGGGGCACAGAAGAAAAGAGGCTTAAGATGTCAAAGTAATCAGAGTAACTAAACCAAAAAAAAAAACTGCTTACCAGAACACGTTTTCCAATCCCCATTCAGTCAGAGGGAATCTTCCAAGGCATTCCAAGTGCCGTGGGCAGAGCCTTCCTTCTCCCAACAATTAAAATGTGTGGCAGAATTCAACACTGTAAGTTTTCTGACTTAATTGCATTTCTTTGATCTCATATAACTTTTAACCTCTGACAGGCTGTGTGCAGTGGTTTAAAAAACTGCATTGGATATGGTTTGGGGAGATAAGGAACAAGAGTAAATGGCTACTTTATCTTTAAAACCATGAGTGATGATGATTGGCATTCGGAGCTCATCTCTGCAAGAAGAAAGTTTTTCAACAACTCTACGGTGGGATTGGGGCATTATCCTTCAAACAAATATTTTCCTGACCCATTTGCAAACTTTGCTGGTTTATAGACCATTTGACAGCAATGAAGGTATTTTATTAACTGAGATACAATTGCTGTTTCCCAGAGGAAGCAGGGGTATTCCTTTCCCTTCCCAGACTCTGCTGATTCCAGCACAAATATTACCGAGGAGTGTGCTCGTTCATGTGGTAATGCAAGTTACCATCTTCACCCAAAAGAGCTTCTGTGGGCTGCTGAGGCAGAATAACAGCCAAAAAGGGGTCAACAAGGGGGGTTCTGATCTTTGGCCTTGCACAGTGCAGAGATGGGAGCTCGGGCAGAAGGGGTTTATAGAAACTAAGATTACAGAAACTAAGACACATTTACAGCCTGTGACTCTAGTTCTGATATCAAACACAGTCCTTCAGTCCTTAGCCATTTGTACAGAGTCACTGATGTCACTGGGACTACTCCTGTGCTTGGAAGGGCACTTTCCTCTGCGTGAAATATAGAGCATATTTTCAATTGATCTTGAATTCCAAATAAACACGTGGAATGTGGGATGCTTGGAGATCACAGAAGAGCTGCTTACAAGAACGTACGATGAAGTTAATTGGGTCTGGTATGAATAATGTATTTGAATTCCAAGCCAAATGCAGCCAACATGTTGAGGGAAACAACAGAATGTCCCAGCATCAATATCAGGAGAGCTCTCAGTCTGTGTTCAACAGGATCATATGTCCTGGAAGTTTTGAAGGAGCATATGGGAGTCAATGGATTTTTTCAAGGAATACATGTACAAATATTTTATAAATAGCTTTACATTTCAGCCTCCACTAGCCTGGAAGTACCCCATTTCCAAAGGATATTGCAAGAAGTGGGAACATTTCCACGAAAAAATAAATTCCAGAAGCTATCAAAGAAATCTTTTTTTTTTTTTGGTAAAAATCATTGGAAACATGGAATATTGCAGAAACAAACAAACAAATAAACAAAACCACCACTGCAGGAATTTTTCTTTCAAGAAAAACCTCCAAAACTAAGCAAGAGGATTCATCTTCCTGGAACACAACTTAATAGGATGCATTAATCACACACTCCACAAAGTAAATAAATATGATACGTTTTCTACTTTGCAAAATCATCAAGTGGACGATTCTAGTATGTTTTTTTTAATCTTGACTTGGATAAAATACTGAGGGAATCTGTGTCTGAACATCGTCTTCCACAGCATATATGAATATGTAACAGCAAACCCCAGTGCAGGAAAACACAGTGAAATGAAAATTTCCAGCATTTGAATATGGGTAGTGTTCCCTCTCTCCCAGCTCTTATTTATCTTCACAGAAACTTCGTCTTAACACTTTACTTAATTTTCATGATTAATTTTTCTGACTGAGCAATATCTTGCACCTAAGGATGCATTATATTAACTGCTAGAAATTATAGAAAAACTATTATCTAAAACTTCAGGCTCCTCGGTCTCTTTTGGTGAGTTACAGCTTGTCTGACACGAGTTTGCATTTCATTTATTACTTGAAAGGAAAAAAACAACAAACCCAGAGCATCTCTTCCAGAGGTTTGGTTATGGAACCTTCAAGCTCCAGTGCAACAAGTTGCTGGCAGGTCTGAGCAGCACAAACCTTCAGCAAGGCTGACACCTAGTCCGAGTTCACTGAACTGCAAATGAAGGAGAGGCAGCAGAGCTTCAGAAAGGCAGACTGACATCCAGGATTTGGGAGAGAATCTGAGGAAAAACTGCTGAGAGGAAAAGTCAAGTGTCCAGACAGACAGAAAATAAACCTCACCTTTGGAAGGGCAAGGTCTAAGGATTCTTTGCTTTCTTACCTGGGGATTTGAAAACAGCAAGCCTGTTTCCTTATGTTTTATTATTGCTGCATTCCCTGGAATGTTCCTTGCCAGCACTGGAACATCTAAATCCATTGCCTAGGGGAATATAAAAGAAAGAAACAACAGTTTGTAAGGATTCAGGGATTCTGAGGTGCTAATGGAAGCAATTTTAAAATGAAAAGCAGAAACAACAAATCAAACTTCTTTCCCATCTCTTCAATTTTTTAACTGAGAAGTACCACGTCTAAGGTGATCTCCTATATAGAATTTCTTTGAAACATTTTGTTTATGTCAGTCTTGTAGCTTTGAACGTATTATCAGAAGCAATCAATGCAGGAAGTCAAAGCATAGCTGCTTCTTCAGGTATTCTTTTCCACCTCAAAATATGCCGTTTGTTTCCCACTGGAAGCCATGAACATATGGCATGCTTGAGGAGGATAAAATTAAAGTTCAGCTCAAAGGTTGTCAGTGTAACTCCTTCCCTTATTGAGCATAGATGAGCAGATTAGTTCATACCACAAAAACAAGCAAAGTATCTGTTCTCTTGTTCCACTAAAACACATTTTTCACAGATTTTCTAGAACACACAGAATTCCAGAGATGTGGGCAGTTCACCAACAGTGAAGGGGATCCTGGAAGTCACTTGGCACTTTCTTCTCCGTTCTGATTCCTATGGGTCATACAGGGCTCTGGAAAAAAGCTTTTCTTTTGAGATCATCTGTCACTACAACCTTCCTTGGACTTTGAGCATTCAGGGGCTGCAGGGAAGGACGCAGAGATGCAGCAGCTGAGTGAACTGCACTGAGGAGAGGACAGGCTATGCTTTCAGAACACTTTAAGCTTTCAAAACATATGATCTACAAAGCCACTGGTGTGGGACTCCTCAAAGACCAGGGAATACACCCGAGGAAAGTACTTGTATGTGTGCATGGATAAAGAAAGGAAAGGAAGTGTGGGGTCTCAACATGCAGCATTTCAAGCTGCCTGCAGAATCAGCATCCATTCCAAGCCAGGGAACCATTCCCAAGAGACCTAATGCCTGGCCACTTCAGAAAATACAGTTGAGATTTTGAAGTACCTTGTGTGCAAACCCTGGCCCCTCAGCTCTTGTTACTCATGCATATCCTGATGTGAAGCTTTAATTACTATTGATGAATTGGGAAGTCTTGAGATGCACTGACTGTAAAAGCAGAAATATTCTTATTGTACAATTATCACAGTGTCAAATGAGAAAGAAATTCACTCCCCCAAATCTTCAATCTGTCTCATACTGGTTCCATGTCACTCCAGAGTGAATGCATTTTTAATTGCTGTCATTACACTCCTGGATAAAGAGCAATTTTGCTTCAGTCTACAGAGCAAGAAAACAAAATTCCAAGGAGAAAATAATGCTTTTGTATAGCTTGGACAAACCTGAAGACAAAAATATCCTGGCTGATAATGGACAGGACCAATTATGTTTTGAACAGGGAGGGACTGCTGGGACGTAGCAACATATTTTAGTAACTTAAAATATCCAAGAAAAACACTGTTTAAATCACCACTGCAGATGTATTTACTCTGGACATAGCAATTCTACAGTCCTTCTGGCACAAACATCTGCTTTGCAGCAGTTAGCTCTAAAAATAAGAATAATCCTTAATGATATAACCTGTTCTACACTTTGTATCAGAAACTACTGGATTAGCTGGAGGTAATTCAGAGAGATTCATGAAGTGAACATAAAGAAGAATAAATTAGAAATACAAAAAACCTACAGACTAGATTCTGCATCTATCTGACTGAAGCTGTTGAGATACAACTTTAAAAAAAAAAAAAATTAAAATGTCATTTTGGTGAGAGCAAATACAGGGGGAAATACCTTTACTGTACCTAAAGGTGAGGTTGCTGGCACAGCATTGCTGTACTGCAGGTTAGATTGGGCTGTAGCACACAGTTAAAAATTGTCTCAAGATATATTCATTTGCTTCTGGTTTTGAAAGCTACACTGCTGATGACTGACTGAAGTTGAACAGTAAATTTATATTTCATTTTCTGTAATTTCTGAACTCTAGAAGGAAAGACATTTGTTCTGTCTCATGGACTTGCAGGGTAGTAACTGCTACACGAGAAAACTTTCAGGTCCCAAAACACACAGGTACCAATGAATTATAGCTACTGAAAGACAGAACAGATGGCCAAATACTTTGGATGCTGGGCTGCCTTTACACCAGCTAGCCTTAAACAAATGGATTGGGCTGTAAATAATTACTGCATGAAGTGGCTTAGAATTTAATTTAGATACTTAGTCTATTTTTAAGCAGTAAAAAGAATCATTTGCATTGTTGAAAATATGTATAATTTACTGACCTAAGTTCCAGAAATAATAGCATAAAATAACATTTCAGTCCATTGCCCATCTGTTTTGTTCCATTATTCTGACTGCAAATGTGTTTTACTGCTATTGCAGAAAGATGCAGGGTGTAAATTTTAGCTGGGGAAGCTTGTTACCCAATAAGCACATCCAGGCAGCAGAATAAGGCTTAGAGAGTAAAGACAGGGTTTATTTACTACTTTGTCTTCTGGATTGGGCCTCATTTTCTTCCTTCTGGCCTCTGCACCTTTTTGTTGGCTCTTCAATTTTACTGCTTTACAACGTGCCTTCATTTTTATTTTTTTATTTTTATAATTTGCTATGGCTTTTATTCCAAACTACTAGGCCTGTACTTCACATGTTGTCCAAGACTGGATTTTGCCTCAGAGTAGAAATTTTTCTTTAATTAGTTTCTTTTTGGTAAAAGCATAACAATCTAATGATTGTTACAGCAGTTGCAATACTCCTGAGAGCACAGAAAAAGTGCTCCAGTGAAATGGTGCTGGAATCTAAACCTTTTTCTACCCAGCTACATAGGGAACATATAAATCTCCTTTTTCACCACCACGTGCCCAGAAACGTGCAAAACTCCTGAGCTCTCTGAGGAAGGGATGGATTTTTAATATTTGCTATAATGTTTGTTTTCTCTTCTTCAAATGCCAAACAGAAAATAGATCAGTTATGGCAAAATCTCTGACATATCAGTACGAGCTGACAAAATAATTAGTTATGGCTTTTAGTTCTTTCATACCTTAAGGCAGGTTGAAATAGATATGATTATATATTTATCTAATTTATCTATTGTATATTTATCTCATACTAAAATCCTGTTTACAGATTCATGACCTTGTTAAATGTTGAGCTTTGAAGAGAATGAAAGTTGCATTTCCAAAGCCAAGCCTTTTATCTCCAGCCTAGGACCAGGAGATTTTTATACATAGTTTTCTGGCTCATTATTTAACAAGATCTTAGCAGATGGGCCTTTCTGTTGCTGGGCATCTCAAGAAAAAAACTTCACTTTATTAGATTGACACTTCCTCCTGAGAGAGAGATTTTTACAGCAGGGTGTTTTATAAGCAAGGCATCAAGTCCCACTGTCCCACTGCCTAGTAAACAGACAAATCCCAAACCATTATAACTTTAGCAGCAGAATTCAAACAGGTCTGAGGGGCTAAAAAGCTCCAAGTATTTTCTCAAGAGATAACTAAAGAGCTAATTCTGCTTGGAGAAGACCTGACTCAGCTGGAACTGGGGCTGCTGTCTCACCAAATCTGTGCCATGACTGTTGGACTTTCCTTCCTAAAATGGAAGGTACCAGTTTCCCCCTGTAACTCATTTATTTGCCAGCTTTTGTTATCCCTGTTCCATGACTTCCAGGATGAACTCCCAGTTAACAGCTCAGAGATTAACTTTGTTTTTAGTACAGGTAGTTTCTTCAGCAGAATTAAATCTATTAATAGTAAGACTAGCCTAGGAGGTGAAATGCACAGCTACACGTGAGATAAAAACCCAAGTAATCTATTATATACACATAAAATACCTATGAATAATATAAATAAATTCAGCATGAAAAAATAAAAGTAATACTTCTTGATGATTCGTCCTAATAAATACTTTTTTCTGATGTAAGAAAAACATCAAAATGCAGGAAGCTAACTGCAAATGTATATAAAGGCATCCTGCAGAGAATGCCTTTTGCTAAAACAGTTTTGTAATTCCAAGAGAGAGAAGACAAATATAACATGAAGTGCTTAGTGTTCTGTCTGTGTAGTAATTTTCCGTTGTTTTTTGGGGTGCTTTGTTTGGTTGGTTTGGTTTGGGGGGTGCTTTTGTTTGTTTGTTTTTCTTTTTGATAGGTCTGGGTATGAATTGGAAATAAATGACTCGAGGTAACTGTGAGGTGGAACCTTAAATGAACAGCTTTCCCACCAGTAATGGTATCTGACTATTGAATAGCCCTCATAGGATAACTGAATAGTTCAGCCACAGAGAGGAGGGCCCCAATAAAAGTTCCCTTGCTGATTTAGTCTTATAGTTATCAGATTCCAAGTTGGAAGAATTCCAACTGCAAAAGAGGAGAGCAAAACCCGATGATTCCTGAAGCAGCTCAGAATCACTTGTGAGGTAAACTGGCATTATCTTTTGGCTCTGAGTTACCACCTATTGTTAAGACACTGAACTTACAAAATTGCTCCCTCTCCTGATAAAAGCTAAGAAAAGTGCCTTTTAACTGCTCAGATCTGATGGGAAAATTTGGAGGAAAATCTATACCAATTGTCCTGTCAGCCCTGAGTTTGCATAACAATTTGTATCAGACCCAGCACATTTGCACTTCTGCTGCAGATGCTGCATCTCTTCAGGCTTTCTGCTTTGCTTTATTCCCCCTCTTTAACTCACTGGAAACAAATCAGGTTGATTTTTGGTGTTCTGAGAGAATTCTGTGAGGGGAACAGGTAACTGGGGAGGATGAGGTGACAATTCCTTAATTCTTCTTCTCCAAGTCACTGGCTCAGTCGTGCCCTGTGTTGGTAACTCCATTTCACCTCAACTACCAAACACACAAAGTTTGTCTCACCTGCCACGCTGGGAAGTTTGGAAATGCCACAGTCTAGAAATTGCTGTTATAGAGTCCTGTTGCTGTGAAAGAGCATCTGCTTCCAGCTCTGAGCCACTGGCATTTTAGAAAGGAAATACAGACTTGCTATCTTACCATCCTCTGGCTTTCCTAATTCTTACAGTGCTCACTCAGTTCCTACTTAGGAAGACTTTCAGCTATGTGGAAGAAAAGCATGCTGGAAATGCAACTTAGAAACAGAAACAGGAGATTCATTAATACAAGCAATGGAATTGTTTCTGTGATCTGAGATTATGATGAACCAACGTTCAGCATTCACCAAAATACATGGAATAGTAAAAGGCCCAAAGAACTTCCACTTTAAGTACACTTACTATTTTCTGAGAAAACATTTAACACTAAGTAGTGCCCTACTTTGACAGGTATGAAATAAAACTGGTTATTAATTTTCAATACTGATGGCAAAAAAAATGAACTGAGTGTGTCATTCATTCATTAATCATTTTGGAATTAAAAACCAAATACAGCTCTTAGATTGCTTTTTGAAAGGATGGAAAAATAAATGGAAGTCCATTCTAGCAACATTATAAGGAAGTGGATGTTGAATCAAGCATAGTGACAACCCCAGTAAATCAGAATGATTTCTACATCTCAGGTCTGTATTGTTAATTTAACAGGATTGATAAAATTACATTCTGTCCTTTAAAAACAAATAGACAAAGCATAAAAACTATCAGTCAAAGGGAAGAAAATGTTAATTGCTAACACTTGCAAAAAGAAATATTTTAGTTTTGTCTTCACTACCTTTGAAACGGGGCATAAAATGTTGATACACATTTCCAGTGACAAAAGAAGATTTCAGATTCACTGTAACCTCATGAATAACCTCACAACTAAGGTGCAGTTACCTCCAGAATTGCAGCAGACATCCCTTCTGAAGTGGAGCTGTTCACCAGGGCAAAGCACCTTTTCACAGCAGCGTGGAGATCATCCTGTGGCAGCTCCTGTAACAAATGGACTCCAGGTGCCCTGGAAACCAAATGCACAGGGGCAGGACCCCTCCTGAGAACGGGCTCTGACAGTCTGGTATCACACACTGAGTTGTGTGTGTGTGTTCATTTTAAAAGCTGGGCAGCCAACTGCTTCCCTTTAGCAAACAGAAGGTTTAATATTAACTTCTTACCTTTTAACTTTTTCCTTAACTTCCCTCGTAAAAAGCGGATCCACCTAGAAAGGAGCACACACAGGAACACGGCACCATTTTAAGGACTGTGTTTGAAATACCCAGAAAAGAAAAATAAATTCTAGCACATCTTTTAACTCAGATATTTAAACGGGTGAATGTGCCAAGGTTTAAAATCACACCACAGACCTGTAACTGGGTGGTTACGTTTGAGTCTTCAAACCAACCCTCTGGTGAGTGATTGCCACGTGGAATGCCCAGCCCAGCCCAGCGTGGATTGACACCTCCCCTCTGCACCTTTGGGTGACTCCTCAGCTCAGCTTTGGGCTGCTGCTGGCAGGGAGAGTCTGTCTGTCTGTCTGTCTTTCTGTCTGTCTCCCCTGACATCCCTCTGGCTGCTGTTCCAACCAGAGCTGGATCTATTTAACACGAGTGACTGTTCTCGGATGACTCTGACAACCCACTGATGTGCCAAGTGACTGTCCCACTGTGCAAGGAGTAAGAAATGAGAGGAAGGGAAGGAACCTTCCAGGCTTTAGTTAACTCAGGAAGCAATCTGGATGTAAACTGAGACAATGTTATAACAATAAATGCTATGCCCTGACAGAAACAGTTGTTTGGAAACTAATAAACATGGAATTCTAAAAAGTTGTCTAAGCTGGGCAATTAACTCCAGTAGGTTTATTTACAAAGCTTAACTACGTCTGCTATTTTCATTTAACATGATTAAAAGAAACAAACAGAACTTGAAAATCCTTAAGTAGACATGAAGAAGGAAACTAGACTTTATTAAGGCTGACTGATTATATTAGAGTAATATATGTTAGCTTGCAGCAGTTGTAAGACTGGGAATGACTTTTTTTAAAATATATGTTAATATTTTGGGTTTGGTTGGCTTTTTTTTCCAGATTATGAGACAGACAGCACTCACAAAGCATTTCAGAAAACTCTTTTGGTAAAAAGCCAGAATTTATTTTATAACTATGATTGTGTATTTTGAACATGAGATTAATTATTTCAAGAAAATGGGGCTTCATAAATTAAAAGATTCAAGTGAATCACTTGCACTAAGGAATGATTTCCCACTGAATACAAAAAATACAAGGCTTGCATAACAGCTTCAAAACGTATTTTTGGTAACAGCAGGGGAAAAAACTCAGGTGCCCTTTCCTGAAGCACTACCTGATCCTGGCAGCAGAGTATGGATCTATAGATGCACAGAGTAAACCAGTATGTCCTGTCACAGGTTCCTTGGATATTTCACAGTGAACTTCACAATTGCTATTTCTATCTAAATATATTTTCAGCTTTTCCCCCAAAGTTCCATTGTGACGCTGAGTTCCTCTCATGAGGAACTCCACTCTATTTCCATTAAAATCGATGGAGCACTTGCAAGTGATTTGAGGAGCAGTGGGATTTGGTCTTTTGTTCTTGTACCTTTAGAAGGATCAGAAAAACTACAGCCTGTGACTCATAAAATTTGTATGACATTAATTCCTATTCTGTCTCCTTCAGTGGAAGCCAAGAAGTTGCCATCTGCCTCACAGACAGAGCAATCCTTTAAGCTGTATTCTTCTATTGGTAAATATTCCAAGAATCCTGGCCTGAGTATGAGAATTCAGTTAAAATATGACTTTCAGGACGGGTGTAGCGACGACTTGGAGAAGTGATCCCCCTGAGCTGCATTTAGGAATTTGAGGGGGCACAGTTACCTAACCACAGGCTCAATATAACAGCAATTAGATACAACATAAGCTGTTCAGCAAGTTGGAAAAGCACTCAGAAGATGTGAACACTTTCCAAAGCCAAGTGGCTATGGCAGGATGCCGAGGAACTCAGCACAGGCTCTGAAAAAGCTACTGAAAAGAATTTTATTTCCACCCAGTTTGTCTCCCTCATCCATTTTTTCTACAGGGAGCGTTTGTTGCCACATTTTATTTTGTTAGCAGGCAAACATGATCATCAGTTACCTATAGCATTTGTTAAAACATCATCAATCCAGAGGCACAGCCTTCAAAGAGCTGCAAATTTCCTCAGTTTATCAGAGATCAGAGGAAAGCAGCTCCCGTTGTATGAGCAGTTCCCATCAGAACAGATGAGATAAGATGACACATGGAAAGGGAGTGGGCACACAGCAGGAAACCACACTGAACAGGTCCAGATATGCCAGTAAGGAAGTTTTACTCTGCTGACAGGCAAAGAAACATCTGAGGTGTGTTTGACAGTGCAGGAAGTCCCAGATCAAAGGCTGCACGAAGATGAAGGGGCCCCTTAAGCACAGAGCCTCCCATGATCAAAACCTAGCAAATCTTTTATAAATACACAGCATTAAAATGCTGCCATATAAAAATTAGCTCAGACAGAAATAATGGACCAGGAACATCTTTTTTGTAATGCTGGGACTCTAGACTTTGAAGGCAAAACCAGGTCTTAGTACATTGAAAGTTCTGTCAGAATATTGCCCAGAGTAGTAAGAGTGAAGAGCTTGAGGAACCTGTAACATATTCAAGACAGAGAGGAAGGATTTGCTCAGTTTCTTGGGTTTGTGAGGTTTTGGCAACATCACTGTGCAAGGAATCACCTTTTCTCACAGCAGCAGGTGACCCCACACTACAATGTTTATCTGATTGATTGTTGAAAAGGCTCAACAAGACCAAGCTTCCCCTAGAACTGCAAACACAACCTGCCTGCAGCAAATGCACCTTCAAAAACAGCACATCCTTGTCAACACCCTAAACACAGCCATTCTACATCATCTTTTCCCTATACTAAATGCTTCAGGAAATTCAGTGTCTTCTGGCTTAATGTGTATTTTGCAATTTGGAACGATTGACAACAAAAAAAACAGTTTTAATTCAGCCGAAACAATTCGGCAACTAGGACTTAAATTAACAAAACTTCAGGTCTAAAAGAAAAATAAATAACCTTTTTAAGAAATACTGGAGCAGCTCATTTTACTATTTCTAACAAAGGGTTAGAGGAGTTGTCAGCTAAATGGTAGCATTAGCTCTTACCTGTTAAAAAATGTCTCAGTGAGTAGGACACTTATTCAGGATGGAGCTGGCAGAATTTCATATTCCTCAGCAGGATAAGGAATTTGAAATTATAACTTTGTCTCCTGTCTGATCTTCCTAATTACTGTGCTCTAGGATATTCTGGAGCAGGGAATTAGACTTTCTCTAGTGGCTTAGTTTAGTTAACAACTGTTTTATTTTAAAACCAGTCCAGAGAACATACAGTAGGTTGAGACGGGCTACATCCCTCCATCTGTGGAGGCACTTATTCACCTAAAACTGCCACAACAGGCATGGAAACAAGTTGGACAGAAGAAAAATAGCTATCAGTGGAAAGGAGTATCATTGCAAACACAGCAATGTTCTGTATACCTGCAAGGATAGCTAAGAAATAGGCAGAGAGGGCTCTGAGGGGTCACCCAGCAGCTGAACACAAGTTTTGTGGCCTTAACTTTCTTTAAAGTTTCATAAGTTCCTATTTTTGGAATACAGAGCTGCTGAAAATTAGCTACTGTTCCAAAATTCAGTATAGAAACGAACAAAAGGAAAACTGGAAGTGAAGACAAATGCTAAAAATTTTACATTACACAGGACCCAACCCTGCAGCATTACCTGGATTGCACTATTGGAGACAATAATGCATAGAAAATGCAGGAAATAATATATAATCTTATGGAAGCAAATATATAATCTTATGGAAGCCAGGCAGAAAATAGTATGTGGGCCTTTGTTCTTTCTATTCTTAATTAATATAATCTTAATGTGTGGTTTTTTAATATTCACAATAAAGATTACATGCTTCATAGATAATGGCACTGATTTTCTTAAGGTTTTTGTGGTTTGAGAAGTAACATGAATAGGAAAAGTACAGCTAAATACCAATAGAGCTGAGAAGTATTTTCATCCTTTAGCAATATTTTAGCACTATGGGAGAAATATGTTTTAAAATGTTTTAAGGAGGTTCAGTCCTTGCCTGTGCACTGCCACAGGGTTATTTCTGGTAGCTTCCTGTAAAGACATCAGCTTATGGAAAAGTGAAGCAAATTTAAAAAGACGACTAAAATGTTTAAAATCCTCACTGGAGGCAGCAAGTGCATCTTTGGATTCTAAAGCACAGCTTCATTACACCTGCTCTAGATTTGCCTTCCACACCAGTTCACTTCCAAATCATTTTGTGTATTAGCGTGGAAAAAAAGGCAGAGAGAATAAAAATATCTTTTAAGAATAAAATCCTGAGTCCCAAAATTTACAAAGAATAAAATTGGATGAGAAAACAGAAAAACAGTCCTTATTCAACTATTCAAAGTCTATTTATTTTCGTATAAAACAAACAGCTTGCAAGTTTTCAGGCTCATGTGAATCAGAGATGAGACTTATACAGAAAGAACACATTACCCAGATGAAACAGTGAAGCTTTTAGTACCCTTGGAGCATCAGTGAGAGTTTGTTTCATGTGACACAGATGCTTCCTCAGACCTTTTCCACTGGTTAAATGATGGCTACAGGCTGCCTTTCCTTCTCAAAGGTCCTGCAATTAGTTTTGTAAGTTTAGCATAAAGCAAATTTGTTGCCCTTGACACAGGCAACATCCCAGAAGCAGAAGAAGCAGGACAGAGACACCAACTTTGAGATTATTCTGAGATGTGGATGTATAAGAACAGCTCAGTTCCTCCCAGTCTTTAGTGCACTGAGATTCCACCAGTTTTATTTGTCAGCTCTGTCCTCGCTGTTGGGTGTCAGACAGAACCCAAACATCACTTTGCACCTGCTGACAACTGTTAATTGTGTTTGAATTGAGACTGCCAGAAATGGCATCAAAGTCTAGATGGAACGGCCCAAAGACCAATTCTCCACATGAAGGAAAGATGTAAGAACAGGGATAACGAGCACCTGAATCACCTGCACAGAAATAAACCCCCTCATTAGCAATACCTGCAAAAAAAAGTCATCAAGGTGGCAACTACTGCCTTTCAAAATATTTGATAGGCTCATTTATTTATTATTGACACTGAAATAGGCATTTCTAATATTTTATTTGCAAAAGTATGCATTTTTAGTGGTTTGAAAACAGAATGATTTGAATGGTATGAAAACAGAAGCCAATGTTAGAATCCAAATATTTTGATACTCTCTATTTTCAGAACTTCTTTCTGTAATCAAATTAAACACTGAATGTTTTGTTCCAACAGTCTCAGAGACTATAGTAGATTATTGCCACTATCAAGTCATCCGGGCACTGGAATTGCTTCCCCTTCCAGAGTTTAGACCTTTTGTGAGCTGCTAAATTTGCACCTTCTTATCTCCATGAAAGTTACAAGTCCTCTGCCTTAGGTTCACTTTGGAAAGAATTATTAGGATATCTCAGATGCAAGTAAATGGAAGTATTTAGAAACAAGCATACAAGCAAAACAAAAATTACAATGACGACTTACTGCAGGTCCAATAATGCCCAGATGGACACTGGGATCCTTTCTGTGCCAATCTAAAACAGAAGAGCAACAACTTTTTTATCAATCCAAATCATTACTTCTTTAATTTAATTATTTCTCTGCAATCACTGTAAATAGCTGCATGAATAAAGAAGAATTGGGCAAATATTGTATTACTACTGAAAAGACTGAACGTGCACCGGATTTCATGCTCAGCCCTCACATACTCCTCATAATTCAAATATTAGCATATCTGAAAGTTACTATTTAGCCTTTCTGCTTTATGTGATCTCTTATGACTCAAGGGTTATTTAACTAAAGTCAGATATTAATTTTGAATCACTCAAGAGAACAATGCTCTGTATAATGCAGTGATTCTGACCACTAAGCCAAAATTATTTTTATTTTTTCCTATGTAAAGGAACAAGTGGAAGTAACTGCAACCATCACAATGACTATTCAATTATATATGAACAAGAGAAATCTGCTGCCCTTTCAACACCAATTACTTGAATAAACTACATTAGTTACTCAGCATCACAAGATTTTAAAGGTTTATAAAATTAAGTTGAATAATGCAGGTTACATTTCCAACTTGGAACACTTGAACTGTTACAGACACAAACAGAACCTGGTAAAACTTTCCCTTATGTGAGTCTGAGAAAAATTCAGCCCAGTTTACAGTGATGAGCCAGAACAATGGGTGGTACAATTTGTTTGCAACTTCAATAACATTAATTAGCACACATGCAAATCAATGTAACAGCCACAGGACAGCAAGATAAAAAAAGTTATTTTGAAGCAGGTGATCTTTTCTTTTGTCTCCCATCAATATTGCACGTAACAGCAAAACAGTTTTCTCAGCAAATAAAACCATCAGATATTGCTTTGATTTCAATGCTCTGTTATTCCCAGCAGGATGCAAAAGACAGCAGCACAGAAATAATGTGTTGAACAGATCAATGGTTACGTAAGAATTTCTTTTTTTTCAAATGTAAATATATCCTGAAGTTTTCTGCAATGAATAAACCAGCTCAAACTTACAAACATAAAAGAAATGCGTCTGAACGCAGTGACAGAACAAAACTGGGTATTCAAATAGCCAGCACTTACCAGAAAAGACTTCTACTAAATAGAGAGGGTCTTTTACTCTTCGAAGTCCACATATCAAAAGAAACAGATGTAAACGGTCTGTATCTGTAGGAATGCCTGCAACAAATAATTTTAAAAGTCTGAATGCAGATAAAAAAGCTGAACACTCCAAACTGTTCCATGAATGAGCACATAACAGTGAATGAGCAGAAATGGGGTGGATTCTGAAAAATTGCCATTATTGTTCCCTCTGGTTCTTGCTCTTGCATCAGTCCTCAGATCATCCCAATGGAGAACATAATTTTATAGGGAGTTTATTTCCAGAGGCAAGGAATGTGCAGAACTTGGAGAAAAATCTGCTGGCTGGTATTCCTGGACACCAAATTCCAGCTTTGACTGACCTGGCAACTAAACAACTCTCTGTGTTTATCAATATTTCTACCCATAAGTAAAATAAATGTGCATCCATATAATAACTCACCTCCTATTTCAAAGAGATTGTGAGGTTTAGGTAATCAATGGCTGCAGGGCTTAGAGCTCTGGATCCTGCACTTTTTGTTGTTAAAGAGCAGGTAATGTCCCATAGTTCTCCATCCCCAATATGTCAGCACTGCTACAGAATAGTTAACTAGAAGTTAAATTATTGCAAAGCATTTATTTTTAACTAATTGCTAAGACAAAAATGAAAAGATAACTTGGGGGGGGAAAAAACCCTCAACACGGGAGCTTTTAACATTGAAAAATCTCCCTTGCAAATACACAGCAACAACTCACAAAATAATTGTGTAGGCTATATTAGAAAAAGAAGATCTGATGTATGACATTGCAGTTGCCACTGGCTCTATGACAGCACAATTAATTTAGAAGCTACTCTGGAGAAGGGGCACTATGTGATGAACTTTGGTAAAATGTGTTTATAATAAAACAACATAATTCAAAAATTGCTGAATGAACAGAAATGACCACGACATAATTTAATGAACACTAGAGGGGCTGAAATGTTCATATTTGATTTATTGTACTGAACAAATCAGTTTGCTGTCCTTCAGTTCACCTACTAACTGAGCTCGTGGCAAGGATGGGAGACTTGTATTACCCAACACAGGCAGTTCTTCAAGGAGCATCAAACTGCTGCTCTTCAGCAGCAGGCAGTTTGTGGGACATTAAGGCTCTGTTTGCATGGTCAGAAAGCTACTGCTTTTAAATTTAAAATCCAGTTTAGGAACGTTTAAATTCTCCCTGTCACAGTCCTGTTCATTACCGAGTCTGCTTCATTCAACTTAAATAACTTGAATTGTCAAAAGTGTCTGCAGCAGACATAGTAAATAACATTTTACAGGTTATTGGACCAAGAAATAATTTGTAATTTATAATACACAAACATTTGGATTGAAAAAGCCATTCTTCTGGTGCAATGGGCCATTAATACTGTTTGGTTTTAAGACATGCAGCAGTGGTTTCAATTTATGACATAAACTCACACAAAACAAATTACTAAAAAGTGTTAGCAAAATTCAGACTGCATTTTAACTATCCATAAGGCACAAATCTTCACTTTAAATTATGAACTCCCATCTGCTGGTGTTGAACTCTGGTTATTTAGGAATAAAACTTAAAGCTAATGCTGGAAGCTCAGTCAGACAGGAGTGAGAAACCAGATCTTCCTGTTGTCACATAGAGACTGTGGGATTATTTTACTCTCCAAATAACTGCTCCTTTTTATCTCTTAACATCTCTTTGTTTCTGTCTTAAAGCTTTCAGCCTTTTAATTGTATGAGATAAGGGTTTAAAGCCCTAATAGACCAGTTCTGTGCAGTCCTGACTGCCATTCTGCCCCTGTATGAAAACCTTCACCCAAAAGAGAAACAGGACACTGGCCCCACAGGCATTCAGATTTTTCTATTCCATTCCTGTGCCATTCAAAGGTACTCCTCATCAATAACAGTCTAATTTCATGTGTGATATTACCTAAAATAATATTTATTAATGCAAGTAGCTCACTCAGTTGACCTCTATTATTTTGAAAAGACATTCACGACTCTCACAGCAGAGTACCCCCTTCATGATGCAATTTTACAAGCCTTACTTGTCTATCAGGAAATGTTATGCACTTTTCTCTGAAATAGCATCTCTTGGGTACACTGGACTCCAGACTGGATCCTACAAGGCATTTCTAAAAATTGTCATAAAAGGGCTAGTCAAAAAGGATTTGCCTCTGCCATTCGATGTAGAGAAGTGAGAACCTGCTGTAGTTTTATTTCATTGTCTGCTGTAGGTCTTAGCCATCACCGAATTCATTTTTGCAGGCAGACTTTCCCCACTCAGTCCACTCAAAGCACATAAACCATCCCTGAGAAGGCTGCATCACCTGCTTACAGTGCTGGGAGTTTGCTCATTCTCTGCCTCCTTAAGATCAAACCTCAGCAGCGCTTGTGTAACTTGTTCACTTTCTGGTTAAATTCTCACATCAAGCTGCCCCTGCATCGGTGTTTTTTCCCACCTGTGGCTTTCTCAAGCCTTGCTCCCAACTCTGCTGGGAAAAAAACCCCAACAAACAGCCATTTGTACAAGTCTGAAATCACTTCAGTACACTTTGTCCTCTCAAAAATGCTGAACAGGGGAACACATGAAGAGAAGAAGTGCAATAGGTGCCTTTACCAGCTATAGCCATCAGCTGGGTGAAAACTGGTTTTTGAAACAAGACGTTTTTATTTCTTCCTTGAGCTTGAACAAGCCTTTCAGCATGTGACTTTTTGCTATCATTCTGCCTTTTGCAGATAGGCTGCTTAATCTGGAACAAGATACTACCACCCTGTGTGATTCTGACATGGAAGTACATCAATATGGCACAATCTACTGATGTGCTCTTCTGATACATCCACGGTGTCACTGCCTTGTTTGACTGACAGGCGAACACCCAAAAACCAAACAGATCTTTGTGTCTGTTTCTCCCCGTTTCTGTTAGTGATACAAAAGCCAAGATTTCCAACAGCACGCTGTGTTTCATTATCTCTTCCCTCATGTACCTTTCTGTTTGCTTAACAGAGAAACACAAAACGGAAAGATTTCTGCATAATCCCTGATTTAAAAAAAAAGAAAATAAAAAAAGGCAAAAAGACTGCATGGTAGATGTTTTCCAGCCATCCTTCAGAATCACTCTACACTAAGTGCAAGTAAAACCCTGCCACCCTAATCAACATCTCTGTCAGTGTCAAAAATAGCTGTTTAAAGTCAGTAGGAGATGCTCCTTTAAACGTGTTGTCAGTGTTTGTCTGCGGTCTGATTTTTTACATCGGCTTCAGCTCTAAAAACCAGCCACAGCAAGCCTTGAGCCTGCTTAGCAGGTCACCAGTTTAGCAAGATGTGAGAGGTCAAAAAAGGACAGTGATTGATAGGAGTGTGCAGACCCATTCCTGTCCTGTGCTGTCCCAGTTTGTCCCACAGGACCACAGGGATGGCCCAAAGGAACCACGGGAGATGAAACGACAGCGATCGACGTGGAGCTCCCACGGTCAGGCAGCTCCTGCCCCATGGGGGGCCAGAGGTGGTGTCCTGCTGCTCAAAATTGAAACACAGCAACCCAGCCCTGGCTCTGAAAATTTCCAAGTGCAATTGCATGACCAAAGGGTGTCCAACTGCTGTGCCGGTGGGTTTGTTGACAGCGCACAAATTTATTGGCTGGTAGATGAAATGTGATTAATACTCGGGATTCATGTTCTCCTGCTGACATTGATTCTGAGTCACAGTGTGGCCTAGAGAAAGTTTGTCAAATCTAGACTTATCCATCCAGACTTACCCATTCACCTGCAAGCAGGTTTAATAATTGCTTGACATAAAGCAATGAGACTGGGTTTAACTCTTGGGAAGCTGTTCTGATACAAGACAGAGCGAGAGAACGGAGTACATCAAAAGTGGAAAACAGGAAAACATTTTCATAATGCAACTGTTTGTCATAGCAACTATTTTACACAGAATCATGCAATCATTTAGGTTGGAAAAGTCCTCTAAGACCACTGAGTCCAACCATTAACCCAGCACTGCCAAGCCCACGACCAAACCCTGTCCCCAAGAGCCACATCTACACATCTTTTAAATACTTCCAGAGATGGTCACCCCACCACTGCCCTGGGCAGCCTGTTTCAGGGCTTGACAGCCCTTTTGGTGAAGAAGTTTTTCCTTGTATCCAACCTAAACCTCCCCTGGCACAACTTGAGGTCATTTCCTCTTGTCCTATCGCTTGTTACTTTGGAGAAGAGAATTATAACACTCTATGATAGTTTACACTTTGGCCATTTTAAACACTTGCACTTAGATGCCAGGATAGCAAAACATGAACACAGACAGCTAACACAAAAGCCTAAATAATTTCTGAAGCATTAGTAAGAACACTGTTTTCCTAAGAAAGGCAAGAATAAGTACAAATGTTATCTAAACAGATTTTGCAAGAGTAGATTCATTTAACTCCATCCCTTTAGGTCCCGTTGGGAAAAAAATGTAGTAGTCACAGATGTACAATAAAAATAAATGTCTTCCTGCAAATCTTTAATCTTACTGAAAGCTGCAGGCCTCTAAGTGAATGACTAATATCAAGCATTAGCTTGCTGAGAGGTAAAGAAGCAGATTTAAAAATTAATTTTCCAACCCCTGATTTCAAGTCCACTGTTGTGTTCTACAGACCTTCAGAGAGCAACATCAAGTCCATATTATTTGGGCTTAGTCATCCATTTTTGGTTTTGGTCAGAAACAAAATCTAAGCCATGATGAGATGGTGAGGGTAAACACCCTTTCTCATTTTGCTGTCTGTTCACTTTGAACCCCAGCAGGTCTCTTACTCCTCTTGAAAATATTTCATTTATCCACCTCCTGAGCATCTGAAAGTATTGACTGATCTCCTAGAAAAGGAAATCCACAGGTTTATTGCTGAGATTTCAGTCTCTAAGATGGTGATTTTATTTTCTTGAGTTTGAAACATGGATAAACTTGTCCACCTCTGGCATGAATCTTTGATACTCTAAATCTTTCCATTGATAGCTTTTTCTGAAGTTCATCTCCCTACACACAGCAGAAGTACCACGTATTAGCTCTTTTAGTCTCTTGGCACCAAGAGTTTGATTTTGTATCTCTTTCATGAGTCAAATATTAGAACCAAGCCAAGTTTTCCAGCTTGTTTGACATGGTGCTGTCCCACTGCAGTTCAGCTTTGACAGGCTCTCTTGCTTTATATTGACTCTGAAGTTTAATTGAAGCCACTGATGGCACAGAGGTTTGACAATTATTAGCCCAATTAGTCCTTATTTCAGCAACATACTTTACCACCTGCAGATCTCAAACATTTATTACCGTGTCATGAAGTTGAGCTTTTATTTTACAAAGCAATTTGTTTCTCAGAAACTAAGGGGAAGCGGAGGCAATAACTTTATCTGAAGTGTTTACACTGCTATTCACAGTCAATAGTGAATAATTGCTAGAGTTGCTGATATGTTTGTGAAGACAGGAGAAATTAAATGAACCTGTAAACTTCCAGGGGCAAGCTACTAACCCAGAAAAATTAGACTGCAAAATTCTCAAATCAATCCTTTTTTCCCCGTTTCTCATTATTTCTAACAAATCAGACAACAAAAAGGCCCTATGGTTTCAGATCAGTTAGGGAACCCAGTTCATGGCTGCTATCATATAAATTTTTACTATGGTCAGCTACATATCTGCACAAACTTTTACTATGTACTTTTTCTTATGTGGGTCTTTCTTTCCAGCACAGCTTTAGGAAAATATAATGCCTCTGTCTGGTCATGGCAGGTTATTTAAACTTTTCCAGCTCTGAAAATAGCTGTGCTATGAAACAGAAACTACAAGAGAGCAGAAAAATCAAACTACAAGAGCATGTTGCATATTGTATTTGATGCTGCAATCAGCATGTGATTCCATGACTCTGTGTCACCTTCCATGAAACCAGTTTTAAGTCTTATCTGTTGGGCAAATAGGCTTTCTCAGTTCATTAGTTTGGAATTCCTAGTTATCCACATCTAATCACATGATGCCTAAGTGTTTATTAGGGTCTACATCTTCCAAGCTTCAGCCACATTCCACTGAAATCAAAAGGAGCTTTTCATCCCAGGATGATGCCATCAAGCCTGTCTCTGATCTCAGGCAGCTCTGCTCCATCCTCGAGTTGAGCTGTTAGAGAAGATCAGCCTCAGGTTTCACATTTTCTTAGACTCTCCTGTCATTTTCTGTCAATCAATTTACAGCAAAGGCCTGAAATTTCCTTGGCTCTCTCAAGTCTATAGATAGGCTTCTAAAATTGCCATCAACCTGATTATGCTGCATAGAGACTCCTCTATTGTAAGGTCAGAGAAAAACATTTTGATCATCCGGTCTGATCTCCAGACTGACACAGGCAGTAATACTTCCTTAAATAGCCTGAGGTACTAACTATACTGAAAATGTTGTTTTCTTGAAGTCTGTGTTGAAGACTGCACTTGGTGCAGCTTTTTGGTTTGACTACTGCTGCTTGCAGTCTCTCCTCAACATAAGCTGTGACACTGACCACTAACCAGAGTGTCAATTAAATTTAAAAGCCTTTATTTTTTGTAGGTTTAGCCAATAAATGTTAGTAACCAGCCACTGAAAATACTGCAGCTAACAGATAGAAACTAACACAACACCAGCATCACCTCTGCAGCTCTACTGCTGAGATGATGAAAAAAATACTAATCCTATGATTTTTGTACTGAGATTGTTCTGCACCTGTAATAACGTGAAAAAAAACCCTTCCAACAGTATTGTTTCCATTTGTGTGAGGCAACTGCTCTTTATGCTATACCCAAACTAGCAAAGGGAATGTACAAAAATCTGGGATTCCTCAGATTTTGGTTCAGTACCAGTCACATTTGGGGGCTGGAAGTGTCCTATTCTGCCACTCACTTAAATCTACCATTAAATTCTTTTTTTCCACTGATTTAAAGAGACTGTTTATGTACTGGTGTTATATTTAACACGAGCATATGTTTCCTATGACAGAAAAAAAATCAGTACAAAGAATATTCATAAGAAGTGTGTCCCATGGAAAAAAGCCTCGAGGGATTCTGAAGAGCCTGTTCCATTTTAAGGAGTAACTTGACAATGTATGGCCTGAACACCAAAGATGTTTAACAGTGATGCTTCAAATGGATTATAATTTCCACTGTAGGGCATGTGCTCTTTCTTTACATTCAGGCCTGGGAATGCTGAATTTGACAGATTTTGAAGGATACTGCTAAAGATACAGGCAAGAGTTATAAGGAGAAATATCTCTCCCCCAGAAAATCATTATGTGCCTTCAGGTATGGAATAGAACTTCATGAAAAAAGTCTTAAAAAAAGAGATCATAAATGCCATGAGCTGAACGAGATTGGACAGTTTTATCTGCATAAAAGCTCGGGATGTTCTCAAATGCACTTCTTGTGCAAGCCCACACTATCAACATCACATTCTTCTGAGTAAAACTGCCTTCTATTTTTGATAGTTTTCTACTGATTGCTCCAAGTTTAGTAGAATTTTAAACAGTTTGAAACTGCAAATCCCCAGAAAAGCAATTCAGTGGGAAATCCTAATTAGTCCATGGAAAGTGCAAAGGTACAGCCAAAAAAAAACCTGCTTCCATGTGCAATATTAAAAGAAGTGGAAAGTGGAGGCTGCCACCAGAGATGGACACAGAGACAAGGCTGAGAAGATAAATGAGATGAAACAGTCCATAAAACCAATACTGAATAATCTGATGCCAGTTTTCAAGTTATTATTTAAGAGGTACAGATGTTAGAGTCACATTTTAGTTTGCTTTTCATGTACTTTATGAATTATTTTGCACTTTTGCATTAGTACACATTAGGCAAAAAACTGTCTCTAATATATTAGAAATTCACTTTAGGGGGAGCTTCCCCCTCCTCAATCTGTTGACTGCTCATTTAATCATAAAATGGTTGGACAAGAGATCAAATCAACACTAAGGCTGAGCTAGAAAGTGACAAATCATTTCACTTCAGAAAATTATTAATCTTAGTGGCACTGTGCTTGTGTGCTGTGATTTACTGAGAACAAAATACCCTCACACTGCTCAATTTAAAATTGACACTGGCTTTGACTAATGGCACCCAGTTACTGGTGTGATAATGCCATTGACTGGTGAGGATTCATTTGTAACAGAGGGAACAGCTGTACTATCAGAGATCAGATTGATGAATATCATATTGAAACATTTTTACCACAGGAAAATGCCTATAAATTATTCTTTGGGGGGAAAGGCAGCTGAAGAAATTAAAGAATTGCCCTGATCAGGTGGTTTAAATTAGGACATGTGCCTTACACACCATTACTTTGGTGAGAACAGAGATAGGCTCTAGACCAAGATCAAATTATAAAACATCAACACATCCCTTCTTCAGCAGTTTGTCACCTCACCCTCTCTTCTGGAAGTGGCATCCCCAGTTTCTATCCCACAGATAAAGCACCTCATGCTCAGGTATTGATGCTTTGGTTTAAGTTAACCTTTAAGGGACACTGACCCACATGTTGTGACCATTTTTGGTGCAGTTTAACCCTGGCCAGGCCAGAAATTTGGAGGCAGTCTGGGCAGTTTACTGACCAGATTAATCCTGATTGATATTCTGCCATTTTTCATATGATTAAATCCATCTTATTACATAATTAGTTAAACTTTACATTCTACGTTTCTGTCATCCTTGACATCTATTAAAAATAAATACAGTGGACACAGGAAAAAAGTGAATTTTACCTGCACGTTCTAGAAACCTGTACCAGTCAAATGTTTCACTGGGGGTTGTCTTAATTCCTGTGTTAAAAAAAAAAAGACAAGTCATATATTTGATGACCCCTGGGTGGCTGAACTGTGGTTCTTGAAGCCTTCAGGTCTAAGAAAACAGTATTTCTGCCAAGCACACTTGTGAATTCCATACACAGCTGTTCCCATCCCGAGCTTTTCTCATCCCAACCACGTCAGGTTGCCTGTACAATCCTTCCATGGGCATCAGACTGAAATTCAGCTGGAATTTTTGCACGATCACACAGTACATGAACTTCTTTAGCAACCCAACCATGTTAAATTTGGCCTTTTAAAATCTACATGTGAGACAACATCATCAGAGGGAGCACATTACTCCCAAACAGTGACAGGGCAGGCTGAGACCCAAAGTCCTAAACATAAAAGATTTAATCTCTAGGTTAATTATTACCTCACAGGAGGCTTAAATACAGACTAAACATGGGCTAAATAGGCTTCACAATGAATTATTTCAACATCAGAGTTTTGAAAAGAATTTTCTTTTCTTTGAAAGTGAAATATGCAAAATAGAACGAATTTTGGAATCCACAGAGAGTTGTTTTTAGATAAATAAAATTAGAAGCTGCAGCTTAAGTAATCACACCTAAAATACTGAGCTGAGTGTTCCCTAGACTAATCACTGAATTAATACACTTTGGATCAGACATTTGTTGGGTGTCATTATGTGGGAAACTCAAAGCATTTAAAGGAATTTGGAGTTTCAGAGAATAATTATTCAGCATAAAAACTCCTGTAGACTTTGGAAATAGCTCAGTGTTACCTTAGGTGTCACCTAATCTTTCAATTCCTGGTGTAAGGCATCTGGGAAAGCTTTTTTAAAAGCACTGAGTTGAAAATTTAGGCTGAGCCCCAAATACTGCCTCAATATCAACGGCAAAAAGCTCAACTCCAGAAGAGTCAGGACTTCAAACCCCACACCCACCTCAGCAAAATATTTCTGGGGCAAAGAAGGCAGACACATAAACATACAGGTACTAAACACGATTCCAATCCATTGAATGCCTTACTCAGCCTTTCAAAACTCTCACCTTGAGTTTGGACATATATTTTCTTCCTCGCCTCTGGCTTTAAAGAGAAGGAGAAGAAAAGTAACTTTCACAGTTCAACATAAAATATCTGTTCAAACTTCAAAAGACCCAACTAGTATAACAAATACAGGTCAGTGTGATTTTCTTTTGACTACCAAAACTCAAACCAGACTATTAGGAAGATACATTTATGTAAAACCAAAACCTAAGTCAAGCAATGTAACTTATATTTACTATGAACATTTACAGAGTCGATGAATCAATTTTGCAGTTAACACAAGGACCGAGTTAGTACAAATATATATTTTTAGTTTATCTCTGTATCCTTTCCTATGATCATTATCCTGCTTATTGCATAGAAAATTGAAATACAGAATAAAACGATTTTCAACTAGTGGAAAATCAGCCCTAGTTCCCCTCAAAAAATATCAGTCTTGAAAGACTGGTTTTGAAAACACAGTCTTCATTTATCCACAATAAAATTTTTAAAGCTATCAGTTTCAGAAACTGCTGTCAAATATATGTAGACTTGCCTATACAGGAAAACTGGCAACTAGTAGTTATTGCAGAACATTCACAAACAGAAATTGCAAAATAAATTACTTTAAAATAGCTATAGTAAAAGAGGTAATTACTACACTTCCAAAGTCACTCCTGAAGTGTTACTCTGCTAGTTATTTAATTTAGGTGATTAAAGAAGCAATTTCCTATTTTAATATCTTTCTATAACTCCAACTGTGGATTCGTGGAATGTATTTTTTTAATGAAAACAGAATTAATTCAGAAACAAACTGCTAAGCAACCAATTCCTGGATCAGTCAGTTCAGAAAATAGGAAGCCACAGAAGCAATTTTTTTTAACTTGCAAACATTTTGGTTTTCCCCTGTCACTCCTACGAGACTCCCCTTCAGTCCCTGCCCAGTCACAACAGTTACTGGAAATGAACTGGAAAAAGGAATTGAAAGAAAAGAGATCATTAAAAAAGTGAATAGTGACCAGCAAGAGGCTCACAGATGGGAAGGAGGTGGTTTCTGAGAATCAGAGTGAACTTTGTCACAAAAACTACATGAAAAATACACATGAAAATGAAATGGGGGGAAAAACAACACTTCATGCTACAGTGGGAGATTGAGGATGTTCTATGGACTTCATCTGTCAGAATCTATGTTAGCTTTTGTGTCCAAAGGATTTAAAAATAATAAAAAGAGTTTAATACATTATTACATAATTGTAATTACTTAACATTGGACCTTCCCTCCCTTATGAATAAGTAACATTTTAAATTATATTGGATCTTCCAGTCATAAAAAGAAACCTCCTTGCAAACAAAGGAGAGGGCACTGCAAGCAGGAGGGCAACTTCAGAATTTAAATTTGCAGTGGGAGAGCTGAAATTCGGCTCTTGGACACGGCAAAATGGAAGGTGGGAAGAGCAGAGGGCAGCTGGAGCCAGCCTTGCCCCCACTGCTGGCACACTGCACAGCTCTGCCTCACACTCAGGGGGGTGAAGGCAGGCCTTTACTTCCTTAAAACCACTAAGTTTCAAAACTAAGTTTAAGTTAAGCGTCTTGTTTCATGCTCTGCTGGACCCCAAATGGCTTATGGTGAGTAAATATAACCCTGCCAGGGCTTGGATGGTCAGGAAGAAAATAGCAGGAATGCTGGGTACCAGGGCGTAGAGATGCAGTCACACTTTATAGATCAATTTTCTGTTATGTTCTTTGTTTTAAATGGTCTTGAGGAGGATGGAAAATGAAATTGGATGCTACTAAAACTGGCTTAGGTAATTCTCATGCACCAGTTTTATGCTGTTGAAATAAAACACTGACCATAAGCACAAGATCTTTTACAGTATCTCAGACTCACCTGGAGTACAGATTATTACGAATGCTGTACTTCATAATTAAAGGTAATTCATCCAATGTAACAGAAAAGAATTTGGTGGGAGATACAGCCCTTGAGCACAGTGCAACTGCTTACATGTTTGTAATTAAAATTCTTAATTGACTGTCTTAACTAGCAAGGCACACATTAGAGGAATAATGCAGTTCACATTAGTGTGAGTTAATATGGAAAAAGTGTTAATATTCCATGACCTAGGCATGGAAAAATGTATTCCTATTCTTCACTGCTTGAAAGGAAATATGTGGCCTTTGCTCTCACCCTTTACATGAAGATGCAGCTGGAACAGAAACTCCAACTCCCAGCATTTAAGATACAGGTCAGCAGGTGGAATTTCAGTTTAGGACTTGATAGACTTGCCTCCAAGTCCTTGTCTGCCTCAGACCTCCAAAACACTGAATGAGTCTCACAGGCCCAGAGCACAAAGGTGTTTGGGTAAAATCAAAGTTTGGTGCTAGAAACATCTGAGGTGCTGATTTTGAAAGGATTTCAAACTTCAGTTTTGTTTCTCCTTCTTACACCCTGTCACTTTTGTCCTTTTCTTGCTTAAGATCTATGACAGAAGCTGTGTCCTTCCACATTTACCCATCATGAAGTTCATTGGAGTAACTATTAAAATCAAGTTATATTTGTAATATAAAATACCAAACCCTATGTCTGCTCATGTATCCTTTTAATGCAGATAGATTTTAAAAATCAATTAATGCTGAAACACAGCATTATATATTCAATTGTTGTGCTGTGCAAGCTCCACCCTAAGTGATTATTTTGTAGGCAAAAGTGCATTAATGATTATATTATGATGCAAATTAGAACTGAAGGGATACCAAGCACTTAGTTTCTACTTCTTCAAGGATTTGTCTTAATTTTCTCCACTGGCAGCCTGCCATCAACTCAACCAGGTAAAGGTGGAAATGTTGACCATCTATTTTCAAACAAGAGCATCAGGTACTAAAAATAATCACACTGAATGTCTGATGAGGACTTGCAGTGCAGCAGATGCAATGATGGGACCTACTAAAACATAGCTTCAAATTCCCCCCTGCAGTTCACCCACCTGAAGAAGTTCATTTTCTATTTCCAGGGTTGACAAAACAAGTATTTTCAAATTATTCTTCAAAATTCTATATTATAACTAATGCCGTCTAGAGGAATTTTGGCAACAGAAAGTTTATTAAATGATGCCAAAAGAAACAATATGGCATCAGGAGAAACTCGATAACAACAGTAATGATTAGTTCCAAATGTTACAGAGAAGCACTTGCTAAAATGCTCTATACTCTTTCCAAATAATAAACAGCTTTTAAATGCCAGATCTGTTTGACCTGTTGAAGCACATAAATATGAAATGCTTTCTCTGAAAGGAAAAACAGGAATAGCAAATATGAAGATTACTGCAATTCTTTAGCATTATTTAGAAAACATTTTAGGAGAATGCATAGCTGCTAATACTCTAAGCATTACCATCATCATGTAAACATACCCACTCTGCTGCTGCCAGTTCCTTCATTTCCACTGTGAAAGCCACTGCAAACCTAGTTAAATGGAAAAAAATAGTTGGGATCATCTGCTTAGAGTGTTTAAACAGAAAAACAGGAAAGTACTTCAGAAAAAAATCTTTATAAGAACAAAGATCAGAGGCTTATAAACATTATCATAGATGGAAAGACAGAAAGCAGGCTTTGAATTTGTTTCAGCAGAAAATAGTGGTTAAACAAATGGCTCTTCAGGCTTTACAACTCAGAGCTCTTGGGAAGGTAAAGTGAGGTTTTCTCAAAGTAAGAGGAAACCCAAATAATGGGGACATCCCCCAGATTATCTAGTTTAATATATGGAGTATAGAGCTGCAGAAGGAAGTTGGCATTTCCTGTTCCTACATCACTGCAGGTGCAGGAACCCTCTTCACAACCACAACACGAAATAAGGAGGGAGCCAAACTGCAGCGTGTTTCCAACTGTTGTTGGACAATAACCCAGGGCCAACTCACTGCAGCTGAGTTTAATTCAAATGAGCAGAGGGATTTTTTTAAACCCTTCCCCAATGTTCTCTCCTTATTTCTAAGTAGTCAAAGCTGTCAATGAGTAACAAACTTAGGTGTCTTTGAGAAATGTGTGCAGTGGGCTCTCATTCCACATAACAGAGCAGTTCTGTCAGAGACCGTTTAAGAGCAGCAGTGATGGGAACACTTTTCATTATTAGGTGTCTCATTACAGCCAACAGAAGGCTGATTTCTAAGCATACCAGATAAACAAGTTATCCCAGTTATTACTGGGACCCTGCTGTAATGCCAAGAAGTCAAAGGAGATATTTTAATGGAGTCAGAGTCAATAAAGAATCCCTCTTCAGAAGAGATCTTAAGATCATGCTGGGCCTTAATGTAGCTTTTAAGTTGCAATGAAACATAAACACATACTTTGAATGTTCTTAAATGGAACTTTAGTGTTGACTGGACTCACAAATGGGGTCATTTCTGAAGATTATCAGTCCTGTGGGACAGAATGTTTGAATGCCTCCTTCATATGAGAAACTGTGTGTCTGCTTAGCAAAATTACTGTTTTTAATTACTTGTATAGATGTTGAATATAAAACAGAGGTCATCACATATTGAACTTATGACTCAGCGTTTCTTTTTCATGTAATTTATGAATGTTTCTGTCCTGAGCCAACACCTCAGTGGTTAGAAATAAAGCACAACACAAAGTCCCAACCAGAACAGTGCTTTTCCATTGGAGATGTTATATTATAATCTGAGGACATGAAATCACAGTCATTCATTAGAAGTCACATAAATGCTGAACTATAACTCCTACTTTTGTTTGTCAAAACAAACCTTCTTCCCATACTTTTTTTTTGCAGTATCTGCTTTATGATACTACAATGAATTTCTCATATACAACTTGACAGCTTTAAGGTTATTAAAGCCTTTGCAAATGCTTGTTTTGTCAAGTTGCACGTGCTCCCTTCCCAGATTTTGCAATTATACTTTCAATACATCACATTAACAAGCATAAAAAGATGTTGCTCCTAAGTCTACAAAACACTGTTCAATAGAAAAAAATACCCTAGAGGAGTACAACCACCATTTAGAGGAATTTGATTAAAAATGAAACACTCATAAAGCTAGACAGTGTTCAATACTTTGTTTTATGGAATGTGGTGGTATATTGTACTGGACAAGTAATCTACAATTCATGATACTTTCTGCTTAGAACCCTGCAATCAATAAAGAAAGAAAAAAATCAATGTTTCTTTTAATAACTATGCAATGAATAATACCAGTGATGAGACTGGAGAAGAGACACATTCAGAATAACTTCTAGAAAACTGAATTACTTTTTCTATAGCAGAGAAAATATTGTAAACTGCATAACGATGCAGTAATATATTTTGAAACATCATAGGAAATTCAAGATATTAGCATACTGCAGGTTCCTAACTTAATTATCATTAAAAAACCTTCAGTAAAGCACAGTTTTTCCATAACCTGTATTAGCTGTATTTGTGAGAGACAGCATTTTAAATACAGAACTGGATCAAATGGACACGCTCAGAGACTCTGGTTTTATACATTTTTCATTTTGTGCAGTGCTGAAATTCAGTTGCCACATTAGATATCTTTCTCTGTTGCTTCAGACCTGTTTAAAGAATAACTTCTGACTGACTGATAACAAAAGTAAACAAGTATATAAATTTCTCTTGAACGGAACCTTAAGTTGCTTTCAACTGCAAGTCACACTAAGTAAGAACATGCCCTAATGATTTTTCCATGAGTGTGAATAAGTGCTGTCTTTAAAGTCTGTTTACTTACCACATTTTATAGGGCACTACAGACAGAACAGCACATCCATGCCAGCATTAAGTGAGCTAATAACAGCCAGAACATAGAGTGGTATTAGCAAAGATAAAATGAGGAGATGAAAGCCTGCTGCAGGTTCTGCCTGAACCCAAATCCACACTGCAACTCAACTGCTGCAGCTCTCTGGGTTAGCTCGAGTGTTGAGCTGAATAAACGGGGAGTATCCTCATCTGTTCAGCCAGGTATTTAAGCTCTCTTTGGGAAAGTGTGCCAGCAGTACCACTGGGTATGATAAGACATCCAGAGGCTTCAATTTTATCTCACCTTGTGCAACTCAAGTGCCATCAAACAGACACCCTTCTCACATCCTTCCACAAGGTGACTTTTCTTATTAAAAGGGTGGAAAAATAATCCAGGAAACAAAAAGCCAATTTGATGTCATCTCTTGAGCTAAATCTGCTCAGAAAGCAGCCCAGTCCTGGCACAGGGAAGAGTGGATCACACAGCCACAAGCAAGAGAAAGGAGGAGGAGAGGAAGACAGGGAGCAGCAGAGTCACCTCTGCCATCAGTGAGCTACTGCTCTGGCTACACACGCAGTGACAACCTCAACCTGTATCTTAATAACACTTAAGCTAACTATTGAAGGAAGCTTTACATACATTAAATGTTTTAGTTTCCAAGAAGAAAAGGGCTTACTCGCCCACCATGGACATGATCAAACACTGCTGAAGTCAACAGACCTCTGGATCAAGCAGAAGGAAACTTCTTTTCTGGGGATGTTGAAACAATGACAAATGCTTGAAAGCCTTTTTAGTTTTTAGACCTTTCCTCTGATTTCTCATCACTTCCAGAACTACATTTTGTGACTACAGTGACATGTCACTAGAACTTTTTCAGACTTAAAACACCCTGAAAATATTCCCTTGTCAATTCACCTCAAAACTGAGAGAACTTGCTTAAAGACTGTCTTCAGTCTCCGCTTCTTTGTTCCCGTATCCAGGGAAAGGATGGCATTAGCAGGGGTAAAAAAAGAACAAAAGCTCCTTATACTTGAGTGATCCCCTTTTCAATCAAGCCCTCTGTCAATAAGCTAAGTGTGAGGGAGGGCTCTGAGAACAGGTTTGATTCTGTGATGCAACAGGACAATGCCAGTTGTTATTTTTAGTTGTCACCTCACTTGAGTCAAACTGCTGAGAACCCTGGTCTGTATGTGCAGATAGCACTTAATGCCTAATATATGTTAGTTTAGTTCCAATATAGAATATTTTATATGTTTGAATATAAGTAACTTAACCCAGAATTTACTAAGAAACAGATGTTTTAAAAAAAGCAACTTGGAGCGACATTCAGCACTTCTGGAAACAGGGTCCAACCTTGTTTAGGCTCCTGATATTACTACAGTAAGAATTAATGAGAACATTCTTACCTCCATCACTAGCAAATGTTTATTATTTAAAAAATCATACCTCTGCCACTAATTCACCATTAAGCACCTCCACTACTAAAACTTCACTATTTAGATACCAAATATGAGTTATTTCATGGCCAGAATAGTTCTGTCCAAATGGGAACTGTATGGATATTGTTGGAGATACTTAGATGTGTATTATTTTAAGGGGTCTACCCATAGGATAGATTATTTTACAGAGCAGTGTGCTGCCAAATCCCAGGTTGAGTATTCTTGCTCCTATTCATCTCATTTCCTTCACCTGCCTCAGAATTTTATATCCTCATCACACACATAGTTCTATTATTCTAGACAACAGTTATGATTCAGTACACAAAGCAGAGGATTAGTTAGCCCAGATTTCATTAGCTTTTAATGGGATTTCAGTCTTTTTGAAAATTTACAACCCAAGAGATCAAGTTTTAGCCCTACTTCTGCCAAGTCTTCCATGGACAAATATGATGAAAGGATTAAATGATAGACTACATACAGACTGTATTTCGTGAAGAAACTGTTCTACTTTCATCACTGAATCATAATATGTAGAGATCATAGGGATTTCAAGCAGTCTAGCCTTTGTCTGCTGGCCTACACACCTCCCAGTGATTCCAAGCACTTAGGGAACACTTCCTAAAAGATCTGCCACTACAAAAATGTAGTTTCCTTTCCTCAGTCTTCCACACATGCTCTTACCTGGCTTCCTCTAGCACTGCTCCCATTACCCGATGTTTCTCTTCACTTTTGACATCTTCATTTACATCTGTCCCACCAAAGATGATTCCAAAAGGAATTCTGCTCCCTGAAAAGCAATGACTACAATGAGAAGCTGGCCCACGTGCCAAGGTAATGAGTAGGAGTGGATAGTAAGATAGTAAGATAGTAAGTACATTAATAATATTGTACCATGTATTTAAGTAGAACTGTTTGAAAAGGAAACTTGAAGAAACTTGAATTTTTATGGGTTTGGCACTGAAACCCCCCATACAATATCTATGCAATTTCACAGTCTGTTGTATAGCTATGAGATTTTATTTCCCTTTTCCATGCTTATTAAAAGCAATCAATTAGATTCTAAACTTAGCAACCTACCAAACAGCATATATATTTCAAATGTTATTCACATGTTAAAAAGATGTAGGATTGCAAAATTTGGTCCCAGTTATCCAGTCCCAGCCACTCTGCCCTCAAGCATACCAATACTGTGGTCTGGGTAACTCTCCTTGGAAAGTTGGTTACTGAAATTATTATTATTTTTTTAAATATTGACTTCTTAAGCTGATTTTACTGCTACAAGAAGTAGAGATGGAGCCACACCATTGGAAAATGCCACCAAATTAAATAAGGCACCATATTGTGAACCTGTAACAAAACCACTGTCCCAAAGAGATGGATCTGTGTTTATAATTGGTACCAAGACCTCCTGTGATCACCCAATTTGTGGAGGTTGTTTTAGGAAGCCTCACAGTGCTCAGAACACTACAAGTAGAGGAAGGTGTGTCTGCCTGTGGGAGTCTGGGCACAAGACTGTATCAACATTCAAACCTTAGAGTATCAAAAAATCATATATATCCCAGTGGTGCCTGCATTTGGTAAAGCCTAGTTTTGACACATGGCATCAGAATAAATTAATCTTTATGTACCAGTAAAGCCACCAAAGCAGGGCAGTGTTGCACTTCAGTGCTAACAGCAGCTTGACTGACAAGGAAAAGCCAAAGACCACTTGGATGACAATCCAAAAGCCAAGAGTAGTGTAAGATTCCTTTCTAATTGCGCTGCTTTTCTTGGAGTCAGGTTATTTTTAGCCACTGAGCAGTAATGTTCTCCCCTGAAGCCAATCAAGACCACAATGTTTGCTGTCCATTGTTTCAAGCACTGGAAGGGACTAAGTGGTCAGTTTTACACAGCATTAAACTAACAAATAACAACCTCCTGGTGGCTGACTATTACAGGCAGAATATAATTTGAAATTCCAAATGGGCTGCAGTTTTGCAAAGGAACTGCTCTCCAGTAAGACAGTCTACAAAACCTGGGCCTAAGGTGGCCCATCCAGTGGGTTTTGCAGGCATCCATTGGCTGTGACAGCTGAAGCCGAGGTTTCCTCCTGACAGAGAACAGGAGTGAGGAGTGAGACTGTACTGACACCACACTCTGGGTATCAAGAAAGGCAGAAAATATCCTTTGTTATTTCTCATTTGCTGTCACTGGACCAACAAGAGGTTCCTGTGCTGAGGGAGGTTCTTCCTTTTGAGACATGACTGACCTTCAGCGTTCATGGCTGCAAAAACTCTTGGTGACAGGTCCTATAAACACCCACAGTTCCTTAAGGGTGTGGGGGTGGTTAATTCAGGGAACTCTCCTAATTAAAATCCATGGCTAAAAACAAGCAAATAAGGAAATCTTCAAAAAAAAAGGAAACAAAATAAATATGCTGATGAAGATTGAAAGTGTAGTCTATGTTTCACATTTATATTTGAAAGTTAAGTGAGCTGTAAGGTGAGGATTTATTAGCATTGCTAATTTCCTCATTACTAAATGAAACAACAAACACAACAAATGAAAGACTAATTACCATTCTGGCTACTTAGAGAATTTCCTTGGCATTTTTAGATATTGTGCTCTAATGTTTGCAGGTGAAGAGAATTAATGTGCACTATCAAAGCCCCACAGCACTAATCTTCAAGAGGTTGATTTTCTGTAATATAAAATATGTATTGCCTTTCTAATAAATTTAAAAAGCAAATAATTACTATGTCATCTATTACATGTGTTGATCATACATCCCCACTCATTTAAACAAAGTTTCCAGGATGAGGCCCAAAAGATTGGTAGTATGGCAGCAGTGGTAGTATGACTAAATTTCTAAATGTTACAGGAATCAGGAGTGTCCCCTGAATCACTTTTTTTCCTCCATAACTTTTACATTTTGACCATGATCATCCCAGCAACCTTACTACTTACTGTCTTGCCTTTCACAGGTTTCTGGTTTATTTTTCTCACAGTTACTGCAGATGCTTTTGGGAACAGTGTGACTGATTTATTTAAATTACTGAGCTTTTGTAAATCATTTGAGTACTGGGCTTTGCAGGTCACTTGGGATTTTGAAAGGCAAACAGCAACAGCATTCAGGCACTGCTATGCAAGTCAAACTCCAATACACTTTTGCAATAAACATTTAAAATTCAACCTTATTTTTTGTTCCTTAGCAAAAGAAAGGAAAAAAAAAATAGAGAGTTCTCAGACTTTCCATAAGCCTCTTCCAAAATAATTCTAGGTCTTGTAAAAAAATCTCTTTATTCCAGTAAGAGAACTCTTAATACATATGTTAGCAGAGATCATCTTGGATTGTAGGGTCCCATCTGAAATCAGAGCTCCATTGTAACAAAAGAAACAGAAACAAGCCAGACATGATAATTCAGGCTTTCTGAAAACCCACCAACACAAACTGCAGGGGCACTTCTGGAGGGTGAAAACTAACAACAGAACTTACACTGAGATCTGATGAAAGTATGAAATTATGAGCCTTTATTCAAGTGAATAGATTGATATAATACAAAGGTGATCTCAATAATTGATACATATTTGGAATTTCAGTAGGTGACAGTGTGTAATTTTGAAAGCTGGTGTTTCTAGTGTATCATTAATGGCAGGCTAAATTTGGTTGTAGGCGGCCAGACAGAAACTTTTGTTATTTGTCTGATAATATTTTGACTCCCATGGGTTAGCTGACAGGGACAATACTGCAAAGTTATTTAATGTCCAAAAACCCTGACTCACTTTTGAGCAGAAAAATCAAATTAGCCTCTCTGCTTTCTTGCATTTGACCTCAACTATACTTAGCCAAGCCACTGTCCTCTGAAAGAACACACTTGCTGAGAGTATCCTAATGTTAATATAACACTCTTATCTTGGTGTAGTTAAAGCACTTAATTACAAAATGCATTATGTGCTTTTAAAGTACATCTATTTAGTTCTCTCCTCTCTGGATCAGATCTCCCACAGAGAAAGATGTTCAGCATTTCTGAACATTTGCTGAAGTGGATAAACAGAATAACGACATTGTGTGTGGGTTTATACATTTACAGCCATTTATAAATGTTCCTATTCATTCTCTTCTCCTGCAGTACTTTTTTAAGAGGCATTTTTATTGGAAAATAGAAAGAGGATTACCTTGCAGAAGTCTGCCTCCTTTATAAAGATGAATGGCCAGGGCTGCATCAAACTTGTCTGTGGAGGTGAGATCGGCAATTTCAGCTGGACTTTCGTACAGGAAAGCATCTTTGAGAACACAGATATGACCTGCAGCATGTAGATGATTCCTTCATTATTGGAACAAAGAGTAAAAGAATAAAAATTATACTTATCAATGTTGTAGGCATGGCAGAATATCAAGCAAGCTTAATCAAAACCTTTTTCCTTAATAATCTTTGCTCTGACATTCAACTTCATGCTAGGTTTGTTCAAGCAATGATGGAGCAATTTAAAAAGTTGTTTATTTTTTTCCTGGAAAGTGTTTCTTACCTTCACCATTGTAAAGCCTTAGGCACACTTCCAAGCAACATAATTTGCATGCATTTCAAGGCCAAAGCCCCATCAACATAACCTTTGAAAATCAGCAGAAATTAAGTATGACCAGGATCTTTCCTGATTGAGCTTCAACTTATTATGCTGAAAAGTCTCCTTTTGAATTGAGTGTGTTAGACCTTGTTCTTAGAGATTCTCAGATCCTTGTTCTGGAGAGAGGCCACCAAGTGAAAAAAGCACAAGTACATCCAGCTAATCAATGCTACTAAAACTACAGAACATCAAAAAAAAAATTAATACATGAAGAAAACCAGAGAGTTGAATTGTATTCCCTCTGTGTTTGATCGTGGGTTTAATTGCTTCTTGTCTTCACTCACCCATTTGTAAAACGAATGGATAATTGAAGTATAAGCAAAAAACTACATAAAAGTAATTACACAAAAAGAAAAAAAAAAACAATCCAAACCAACAACAAAACCCCCTCAGTGTCAGCTTACACATTCATCTTTATATACAATGGTTCTTCATAGTAGAACGTTGATTCAAAGACTGCCAAAGACAAGAACCTGATTGATTACAGACAGCTTTATTCCTGCCACTGAAACCACAATCAGTTATCAGTGTTTCCAAGGACATCAGCCAGAAAACATATAGGAGAAAATCCATGTTTTGATAGAAACTAGCACACTGCCTCTCCTGACATGCAGTGTTTCCACTTTCTACATTATGAAAAGACCACAGGAATGTTCTCTGCCCATCACATATTATTCCAGTTGATTTATTTCTCGTCGCGTTTTAATCGTTCTGGCATTAAAATCCTGCAAACTCAACGGCTTCCTGGATAATGGGGCTCTTTCCTTTCCTGATTATTTCATATCCTCCCAAGGAATGTAATTTTCTGTCCTGCACAAGTTAGTCATTACTGCAGAAATTGGTGCTAAAAATGCCGTAAAATGTCTTGAGGCCTTGGAAGGAATGTATTAGCACTATATCAGACAGAGCTCCACTGGCACAACATATGGTGCTGTATTTCTTCCTTATCCTAAAAAAGAAACTCCTTTTACTTTTAACTTCGCTGTTTGAAGCGAGACCAATAAATTCTCATAAGTACTAATAAATAATAAAATGCAGCCAGATTGTAAACTCCTTATTTACACTGTCGAGCAATTATTTCCATCAGCTGTCCCACGAACTGGCTCCAAGTACCTGCTTCCCTTTGGAAAGAGGCTCTCAATTTATATCTAAATAATGATGCCCAAATCTCACAGCTGTGGAAAGAAAATCTCTCGGGCAAATACTCGGGATGCTCCTGAGTGCATTCCATAATTTCACAGGTGCTCATTAACCAGTCTAAAAGGATTTTTTCCCATCAGTATTGCAATTACCATAAATCACTATCATGTACAAGCAATATGTTTGCATATCACAATTAATTTGAAAATAACTCCCTCAGGACATCAGGAATCAAGAAACTCAGCTAGGATTTTCCATTGAAAGTGTCTTTTTGTTGGTTTTTCGTGTTTTTTTTTTTAAATACACTAGGAATGAATACTTTTCCTCTACAGTTTCCACAGCTTCAAATCTCACAGTGGAATAACAGCTGTTTCTGCAGTAAATAGAGAGGGAGTCCCTTGAATGTTCCAAGGCTCAGAAATTGTGGATTACCCCTGTTACTTCACTTTCTTTTTTTTTTTTTTTTACACATTTTTATTCTACTCAGGAGCACGTAAAGAATTTGCATACATCTTATGAAGGAAAAATTACCAAATTATTCCCAGAATAATTCAAACTCCCAGATTTAAAGAGGCCTTAATCCCATAAAGATTCCACTGAGTTGAGTATCATTAGTCACAAGCTTCAAATTATGCATATATGGAAATATATATGTGTAGAAGCAGAGTTATTGGCTACTATTTAAGTACTGAAATTTAGCCATATTTTCATATTTTCTAAATGACTTTTCATCTTTACAACCAAAAAAAGCAGATTATGGTTTTCACACATATGCTCTTATCAAGGAACATGATAGGAGGGTGCTGCACAGTTATTGCAGGAGATTTTTTTTGGAAGACTGATCTGTCTATGAAGTCACAGATGTCCCTGAATGAAGCCAAGACAGAAGAGATACATTACCCATATCTTCTCTCCTCCTGGCAACTGTGTATTCACATTATTTTGCCATTCCATAAAAAAATGCTTTCTGAATGAAAAATAAAAATGAACACGTCTCCTGCTGTCTGGGAATCAAAGACAACACTGGAAATGCTAAATCACAAGGCTACATTTTCTATCACAGTTTTTTATGCAGTAGATAAATTTCCAAGTAAGTGTCTTAACAAACAGTGATTATTGCTTGGATCCAGAATTTGCCTTGCTTTGCCATATTTTTCCCTTTTGCTGAAAATCTCATGGAATCCAATGCCATGACCTGGGGAGAATAATATTTCTAAAATGGATTTGGGCTGTCAGATTCCAGCTTTTGGGTGTTTTTGTAGGAAGAAACTCTCAGGGAAAACTTTAGGCATTCAGTAAGTGTGGAAGATCATTTATCAAAGTCCATTATATTGGTCACTGCTTATACTGTGATATTTATAAACATCTGAATATTGGACAAAATATTTTCCAGTCCTGCTTATTTTAGTATTCAGGAAATAATTTTGTTGTTGTTGTTGTATTTTTTATACTCTTTGGAAATCATGAAGCTTATAAGTGAAATTTGTGTCTTCTCCAGATCTGTATGCAGAGAGATATTGCTACAAGGAACAACCTTTTTTGAATATGTTTTCACTTTATTTAAGATTTCTATAGAAAAACATTTTTTTCTAACACAACTATGAAATACCAAATGATGTTTTACACCGTTTCATTTTTTATTGCCTACAGTATTGATCACTACTTCTCACTTTTCCTGGCCAGCAGTCTTCCCTCCTTCAACAGGTTTTCACATAAGGAAACAGTTTTATAGTTCCAAACACATTTTGTTTGAGGTTAAAGCACAGCAAGTTAAAAGTATGATTACTTTTAAAATATCATGGTTGTGAAACTTGCTATATTTTCTGTGATGTCTTTCTTTTAGAAACATTTACGTTCTAAATTTCAACTGATGTTTCAATGGAGTTACTTGCAGACAAAGAATGTTTGATTTCCAAAAAGTTCCTGGTAGGTAGACACACTGACACTTCTTGAATGGCACAAAATAGGCTTCATCCAAAAATATTAATTATCTCTTTCCCTTGGCTGTCTGTTCTGTAAAGCAGCTGTGTATCAACTACTGTTAAATGTATATGGCCCAATTTAAAGCCTATTAAGTGAGCAGAGCCATTCCACTGCCTCTTCTGAAACTCAGCCAGACCTGAGGATTCACAATTCCCACTGAAGCTGGTCAAATTACAGGAGTTGAAACCCTGCATGATCTTCTCTGTTTTCTTTGTAATTTTTGTTTTCATACTTGTTAAAGCAACGTGTTCTTCATTTTATTTCTCTCTCAAACTTCTCCTTTAAACAGCATAGACAAATCGTGTTGGCATGAATGGAGTATGAATAAAATTCACTGTGAGTAAGATCAGAAAGTAAAAAAGTGAGGGAAGATGGGAAGCAAATCCTTCTGTCTCTGTGTTCTGAAGTAACGGAGCTTTGGAAGGACAAAATAACTCTGCAAAGTTTAGTCCTGTCTTATAAGTAGGTCCTGCCATGTAAACAATTTTGGGAAGCAGCAACAATGTAGGCCATGTAAACGATTGCATCTCAGTCCCAAAGGTGGAGGATGAGCAGCATCCTGCTCTGGGAATGGCCACACAAAGAGCACCAGGAATCTCCCAGCACCTGCATCAATCAGGGAGGAAAAAGAGCCCTTCCGACCTGCCAGGAAGAGAAGAGGATCCCCTGCTGTACCAGTGCTCTCCTGTAGGATTGGAACGGTGGCAGACAGGGTAAGACTGAATGGAGGAAACATTTGGGCTCAGAATTACTCCAATAAATGTCTAAGCTAAAAAAACAATTGTAAAGAGGAATGATAAGCAGCATTGAATTTGTGTGTTTAATTCTCCTGCAGTTGATTACCTGAAGATTTAGAGAATGGCTATCTCAACTGGCCATTTAATGAGAATCACAACAAGTTCTCCCTCTCCAAAGGATATTTACATATTGACAAAATACTTCATCTAAATCTTTCTAATTAACCAATTAATTAAAAAAATCTATTCCTCCTTACTACTAAGTAATAAAAGAAGAACAGAACATTTCAAGGGGAAGAGAAGATTAATTTCTTTTCTTTCCTGACACCCTCTTTGATCTCTTTTCTAAGGCTGAAGAATGGCAGCCTATGCAAAGGCTTTTACTTGGTGGTGTATCTTCTACTCATTGCTCATATTTTTGAAGGTGATTAAAGATGATACCACAGTAATACGAATAAGGCCCACAGCACATTCATTATACCACTTGTTTTAGCAAGCTGATTTCTAGCCAAATTAGATTCTGGTACCTTTATCACCAGTTACTTGAGACTCAGGAAATGAGTATCTTATTTATGAAAAGACGAAGCAGTTATGGGAACAGCTGTAATATCACAAACATAGGATATGCAGTGTTATTAAGCCATAAAATTAATCTATGCTGGCAAGTGTCCAACCCGGAGACAATGTCACTGTTTCATTTAAACAAAAGTTACCATGGTCCAATATGACAAAAAAGAATGAACAAATAAATTCATAAGCATGTATGCAGATACAGCTGAGGCCAAATGTTTACTGGATACACATGCATTTTATGTGTATTAACATATGTATTACAAAGTTTACCATGTGGCCATAACCTCGGGTGTGGCGGAGTAGTGTGAGAAGTGTCATGCCCAAGACTTTGGCCATACCTGTAGATTTATTCATTTTATAATGGCATGAAGTCTTAAGAAAACCAATATCAGATGGAAGTATCTGCACAGGATGGTTTTAGTGATAGCTGTCACCTGACTAGCCTTTTAGTGAGGATGATGGACTTAATTGATAGCTAATACTCCATTTTTTCCCCTGATCAGAGGGTTTTTTTCCCCTGAACAGGCTCATTTATATTATTACTATAAATAACAGTTATGGTAGGTTATGATAGGAACTGAACATGACATTACTCACTCTCAAGCACTATTCCTGTTATAATCCTTTATCCAGCTTTATCGTGAACATGAATTAAATTGATCTTTCACTCATTTTCTTCCCACTTCAAGGTCTGTGTGCATGAGAAAGCAGCATCCACTTTGTGTAAGGTACTCCTACACTTTGTGTAAGGTACTCCTGGGAAGCAACAGGATCAACAATCGATGTACCCTACACAGGTCACTGCAGATGTGTCCATACAGCTGCAAATGACTGCATTAGCACAGTAATATGTTAAACCATCTGTCAGCAGAGCTGCTGTAGCTCACCAAATCTATACCCTTTCCTACTAAAACACATTATTTTAGGCCACCATCACAAGTCACAGCTGGAGAAGGCTACCAAAATTGCTGTTTGCCATGACTCACCTAAAGGCACCTTGCCAAGCCACTGTACCTTGACACAGGATGCTCACATATTCACAATTAATCTCAGTGTAATTAAAAGACAGTTTGGTGGATGTTTGTTTGTCTGCTTTATTCAGACTTAATTTAACCAGAAATAATGCAAAACCTGCTTTCCACTAGATTAGCTCTGAATGGCTCCACAGTCTAAATGTTTGTCTGACTTTCTTCAAAATTGAATTGGAAGAAGTGGGTAAGTGAATATTTAATTTGTAAAGGTAGAATAAATAATCTTATTGAGGAAGAATGAGCACTGGCGTCCTAAAGAATAACTAGTTTTGCATTATCCAGTGAGAGCAAAGGAAATGAGAATACCACAGAAACCACCACACAGGAACTGTGCTGACACATACAGGTATAAAAATGTGTGTTATAAACATAAGAATGAATTTGTTTAATCTCAACATTTTATTAACAATTATTGTTTTAAAATACCAAAACCTTCAGCTTTCTCTGGTCTTTATGCTCCATTTGCTTATATCTTCAACATCTGACTGACTGGCAGGAGGCAGGTCTGTTCTACCACTACCTTATACAACCCTGCACAAATCCGAGACTGAACTTGGGGTGACACAACCAGTGTGAAAACTTAATGTCAGAGGACTATTTCTATGCATAACATTCCACATGTGATAATACATGGATCAAGGTCAGGGAAGACTAGCAATAGCAGAAGGCTATCCCAAGGGATTCATGCTAAGCAAAACAACTAAACTGCAGATGAGTTTTAGATAAGATGCAACCAAATCCTTATCTCAGGCCTCAAGAGGTCAAAACCACTGGGAAATCTTTTTCTTTTTATGGCGACTTTTTTTTTTTTAAAAACAAAGCTCACGCGCATAGCAACGCTGTCAGCCACATCCTTTGCCCACATGTCACAGAAGGAGTTAAATGGGGGCATTAAGGATATTCTTGGGGCTCTGTCACAGCGCTGCAGACCCGTGTCCGTCACCCCCCGAGAGCCGCGTGTCGAATCCCCAGGATTGCCAGGGCAGCAACGGGAGCGGCTCCTGCACAGATGCTGCTCCGGGATGGCTCCTGTACGGGCACTCATTGCCGAGCTCCCCGCTGCCCTTCGCACTGTCTCATCTCATCTCATCCCGAGCATTTCCCAATGCGGGCATCCTCGGGAAACCCACCGACCGACACGGGCTGGGCGGGGGCTGCGAGGGGCGGCCGGCGAGGGGACCCGGGTGACACCGCGAGTGCCGCAGCCCCTCCGCCAGCAACCGGCCCCGAGCAGAGCGGCTTATTCACGGGGTCTGCGGGAACCCCTCGGCTCCGCGCTCCCAGTGGCACAGGGGACACGGTGATAACACAGCCCCGCTCCCAGTGGCACAGGGGACACGGTGATAACACAGCCCGCGGCGGGGGCGGGCCCGGCCGTGTGAGAGGGCCCCGCTCGGCCGCCGCCCCCCGCACACCCCCGCTCCGCAGAGCCGCCTCCGTGCGCCGGCGCGGGCAGCGCATGGCGGGCGGGCCCCGCCGCCCCCCGGCCCCGCAGCGGCCCCGCGGGGCCCCCTTTGCCCACCGGGGAGGCTGCGGAGGGGCAGCGGCGGGTGCGGGTCCCTGCGGGCACGCAGCGGGCAGCGCATCCCCTGCTCCGCATCGCACTTACTGTATCCTGGCGGCGGTGGTGGCGTTGCCGGTCTGAGCCCGCAGACACGCGAGCAGCAGCAGCCTCATAGCGGCCCCCTCGCTCCGCCGCCGCCTCCTCACCTGCCCGCGGCTCCCGGAAACAGCGCCGGGAGCGGGGGATGAGCGGGGGATGAGCGGGGGATGAGCGGGGGATGAGCGGGGGATGAGCGGGGGATGAGCGGGCGCGGGGCCGAGCCCTGCGCCGACCCGCCCGCGGGGCTGAGCCGGCCCGGCTGCGCCTCGCCAGGTGTTCCGGGGCAGAGGACACTTGGCTACCGAGCCAAGCCCCAGGGCTTGTGCCAGGTTTGGAGGCCCTCCCGCACCTGTGAATAGCGCTGTGTGTTTTCATGATGACGTGCTCACATCGTGGCCTCAGGGAAACCATAAAGATCCCCGCAGAAGAGCATCAGGGGAGGTTGGTACCAAAACACTGCCTCCTGAAGCTGTTCCTCGTGTCGCCATGAGCCTCCCAAGAGATGCTTCGTACTCACGGTTAGAAAAAACTAAGTGTGGATAAGGCGCCGAGAACCAGAAAATCCAGAGGAGTGTGCTAGTCCAAAGAACAAGGCAATGGGGTGGTCAAAGACCACTCCAAACATCAGGAAAGCCAAGTGATGAAAGACAGCCACAGGGACCAGGGGAAAGGTCTGGTGAGGAACCACAGCCTGCACAGCAGCATCATCATCATGGCTAGGCTTCGCGAACGAAGATTTGGGAACAGCCTGCACAACAGCAGGAAGAATCCAAAGGTACAACAAAACAGGGAAGAGGAAAAGAACATGACCTCGGGACCAAGAAAAGTGTATCCCAAACTATGAAGCCAGTCTTCAGGACAAAAGAGGTTCACCCCGATTATAAGCAGAGAGACAGAGCACGGATGGGTGGGGCAGCAGGCAGGAAGGTTGAGAGGCCAGTGTAGGGAGTCTGTTGGAGATTGACAGGAGACAGGTGGCTGATGGAAGATATCCATGGCCTTGAACCTGATTCAACATCTTGTAAAAACATTGAGAATGCATCCAGGACATTTGTGGCCATGAGAAAGATGAGAAGTGGGGCAGGCTTGATTGAACAGAAAACTCACTTCTTTGCTTATAACCTGGTCTGATGTAATTCATCACAGGGCTACATATACTTATGTTTCCCCAAGGGCTGAAGAAGACAGAGAAAGGTGGTCTGCAGACTGCAATGCCTGGTTATTGCAGCCTAAATTATTCTTCAAATCTTCCTTTTCCCTCGGGTAGAGGGAGAAAAATCTGCTACATACAGAGAAAGGCTCTTAAATTTAATAATTTTTGAAACACTACTTCTTCAAATCACTTGTGTGGATCTCTGAGGATGACAGGTATTCTGGAATTGAGGGTTTAGAAGTGGTAAAGACACATACTGGAGCATGTTCTGGCAAATTGTAAGCATTTTGGTGGGCAGGCTCATGTTTTGCTAATGGGTCTTCATGCTGCAGAGCCGTGTTCAACTGTCTGCATCTCACTAAGTTAACACTTAGAAATAATCCAGCACAACATTGTTCAGACCATTTAAAACCCCATCCCAACTAAAAAATATGGCTACAACTTAGAAGAGCAACAAACCTTGCATAAATGCTAATCTAAGGGTAGGCAGAACCAAGGTAGTTTCATCATCATTTCAGGAAGTGTTTCTGGCATGAAATTCCAGCCCTGTTGAAACGTAGAGGGCCAGGATTCTGGCCTTGAAGTGGCCCATGTGAAGCACATTTGGGCTTCTGAGAGCACTCAGCACCCTCACACAGCACGGGTCACCCAGCTGCACCACACTGAGAAGGGCTGGCTCTGGGTGTGTGTGCCAACTTCACCCTGTGCCTAAAAGAGCCTCTGTGATCCAAAATGCAGACATGTTTTGGGTTAAAAGGAAGCTGCAGTTCTGGTATCTGCATGAGATACCTCATGACATACAGCCTGGTCGTTGTAACTTTGCACCACCGTGGCTCCAACCCCAGACAAAAGCCATCCAGCACATTTAGTGTGCAACATCAAAGAAGACAAAAATGCAAACATCAAAGTAAGACAAGGCCTGCTCCATGAGAAATAAGGAAACTTAACCAATCGTCCGAGAAATAAAGAGGAAATAAAGGAAACATTCAAAGAGATCTTAACATTTTATTACTATTTATGATAACTCTGGGGTTTATGCTATATAGGTCTTGACTGAAAAAAATAACAATCTAGAAGCCTTTGCAGCATTTAGTGTGGTGTCTCTGAAAACACGGGTGCATTCACTGTATTTTAAGAAAGGATCAAGGATGGATAACAATCGAGTTTTAAACATACTGTAGCTGAGTGTTGTTTGGAGGAAAATTAAAACCACCTTCCTGAGCTGCTGGAGAGAGTGGCTGAGTTCTAACAGTAACTCCTGAATTTTAGTGAGAGTACCTTTGTTTTGATACCTGAAGATTTAAATAACATTTTCTAATGTACATTTCAAATGCTGTTCAGCATTGTGAGATGTTGGATAGGTCAATATAAAATCTCACCTCACTCACCAAAGTAAATTATGAAGGGCCTAGAATGTGATATCTGCATGTATTAAAACACAATAACACAACATGTGCTTAATTACTTTGTGTCTCAAGCAAATACTACTAAACTCCTCAAAAATATGTAATCACAACTGATATGACATACTGTATTAAGCTGGGAAAAGCTGAAATGTAATTTCTTAAATTACAGAATCAGTCATATTACAGGAGTTCACAAAGAGATCTCTATACAGCTGGTTGCCTTTTCCTTATTGTCCTTTCTCGTAAAATTTGCTAACTAGTTAAGAGAGCAAATATATTTAATGAGTCATTTTTATGGCACATGTTATTTACAAAGGCCCATTATTAAATGAATACATTTACTTTTACAAGCATTGCTTGCTCAATTACCAACGCTGCTCCAAAAATTTTAAGTCATAGCTAGATGTTTGGTGTAACGAAATGACGTCAATCAATTTACCTTTTTAACTGAAAACACAGAACCAGGAGTATCTTCCCCACTTTGTTTCAGCCAAAAATATGACTTTAAGATCTGCTGTTCAAGACAACTTCATACTTTCATGATGTTTACCTCAACACACGTGATGGTGGAACTACAGCACCTCTTAGGGTTCTGATCTTGCAACCACTAATTTGTTTTCTCATTTTAATCACACATTTCATTCCATTCAGGTCAGAGTGTTCATTCTCTGTGTATACATATATAATTCCTGCAGGCACTGCTCAGGTAATCCTGCCTTCACACCCCAAACACAGCTCAGGGACCAGCTGCTGCTCCCCATCCATGGTGAGTCCCTGGGCACACCCCGGGCACTGAGCCATGCCCACACCTGCACCAGGGGCTGCAGAACACAGACAAATAAATCACAACGCACATTTATCCCATTTTGCTGCAGAAAGGCCTCCTTGCCGTTCAATCCTGAACTAATACATTAAATAGCTATAAAAAACACAGCCCCTCTGCTCGGCCCTGCTGAGGCACGTCTGGACAGCCGTGTCCAGTTCTGGGCTCCTCAGTACGAGGAAGACAAGGAGCTGCTGGAGAGGGTCCAGTGGAGGCCACAAAGATGGTGAGGGGTCTGGGGCATCTCTATAGTGAAGAGAGACTGGGGAAGCTGGGCCTGTTTGGTCTAGAGAACACTGAGAAGGGATCTCATGAACGCACAGAAATATCTCAAAGGTGGGTGGCAAGAGGATGATGGTGCCAGATTCTTCAGTGGTGTCCAGCGATAGGACGAGGGGCAATGGCCATGAACTAAAACTCAAGAAGTTTAACTCAACATGAGGAAGAACTTCTTTCCGTGGAGGTGGCAGAGCGCCAGAACAGCTGCCCAGGGAGGTCGTGGAGTCTCCCTCTCTGGAGACCTTCAAAACCCACCTGGACACGTCCCTGTGTCACCTGCTCCAGGTGCCCCGGCCCTGGCAGTGGGGTAGGACTGGACGATGTCCCGATGTCCCTTCCAACCCGAGCTGTTGTGCGCTTCGGTGAAACTCCATTTCTCTGCTGCAGCATCTGAGTCAAAGCGGCGGAGGAACATCAGCGGACAGAGAGCCTTCCTCCTTCCTTCCCTGCCTTCCTCCCTGCCCCGGCGAAGCTCCGGACTCAGCAGCCCCCGTCCTGGGGCTGAGGGGACACCCGCGCCCCGCCCGCCCCGCGCTCCCCTCACGGCCGGTCCCGCCCCGCCGCTTCCGCCCCCGCCATGTCCCGCCCCGGCCCCGCCGCCCGCGTGACAGCCCCGCCGGCGGAGAGTGACAGCGCCCTCAGCCAATGGCGCGGCGCCGCTGGGCGGGGGGGCGGGGCCGGCGGGGCCGGTGCGGCTCCCTCAGGGCAGGGACGCGGGGACGCGGGGCCGCCATGGACGAGCCCGAGCCGAGCGAGCGCAGCCCCTTGTTGAGCAGCGGGGAGCGCGGGCGGGCGGCGGCGGCCAGCGCGTTCCAGGGCCGGCGGCTGGCCTGCGCCGCCGTGCTGCTGGCCGAGCTGCTGGAGCGGGTGGCCTTCTACGGCGTCACCTCCAACCTGGTGCTGTTCCTGAACGGGCCGCCCTACGGCTGGGAGGGCGCCCAGGCCAGCCAGGCGCTGCTGCTCTTCATGGGCATCACCTACCTGGTGTCGCCGTTCGGGGGCTGGCTGGCGGACGCGCTGCTGGGCAAGTTCGGCACCATCCTGCTGAGCATGGCGCTGTACCTGCTGGGCATGCTGGCCTTCCCCGTCATCGCCGCGCCGCACACCCGCCAGGGCCTCTGCGGGGACATCCCGCTGTTCCCCGTGGAGAACTGCTCCTCGCCGGCGGCCAACGCCACCCCGGCGCCCTGCTCCCAGGCGGGAGCCACCCGCTACTGCGCCACCGCCACCTTCGTGGGACTGGTTCTCGTGGGGCTGGGCGTCGGCTCGGTCAAGGCCAACATCACCCCGTTCGGGGCGGACCAGGTCGGGTATTGTTCGGCAGCTGCTGGAGCCGCTTGTGGGCGCCGGTCTGGACCAGGGGTGGCTGTCAGTGGTGCTGAGGGGCTTTGCCTGCCTTGGTGGGGTGGGCAGTGCCTGCTGGTTCGCCTCTCTCTAGGTGTTTAGCCTTGGAGGGAATCAGATCGTCCAGCTCTGTTCCCTGTGTAAATGCAGGTCGTGAA